TATGAAGGGATGGTGTGGTCAGACCCATGCTCAGTCGAAATAGGTGTGTTTAAAAGACAAAAACAACATAACTTCCATTGAACAACCGGGTTTTTAAAGAAATCTTTTAAGTCTCTTAATTTTAAGTCTCTTAATCAGCGAGTGCATTTAATATGGTATGGTTACCGATGAAGAAATGAACTATTTCATTTAAATCTATAGATCTATACATAAAAACCTAATAAAAATAAATCACTTTAAAAACAAGAAGGATACCATTAATTAGCTGAGTTTTTAACGGAATCCTTTAAGTAAGTTAATCACTGTGTGCCTGTGTTATGTTAAATGTGTCGGATTTTTAGCTTATTAGTTATTTCTTTGCTTTGTCACTAATATCGTTCAGCGTGTAGTAAAGCACATTGCGTTTTGACCAATAACTATTTTATAAATTATTTTTCTCAAACAAGCCCGTCTCAAAAGGTTGCCGACCCCTGTGTTAGTTTGATTAAAGTGGTACGGATACAATTTTCACCGATGTCGGATCAAACTAACATCATTTTCATTTTTAAATGGCTCATTGATTTCTCCACCCCTCTAAGGCATATTTTTTAAAAAAAAGTATTAAAAAAAAGAAAATTAATAGGGATAAAAGCTAAACCACAGGCATCATAAAAAGCTGCTAACAAGCAGTGGTATTAGAAAAGAGTCATTTAAAAATTGAATGAACCTAAAGTTTATAAATATTGCACAGCAGAGTATGAGAATGTTGCTATTAATCTTTGTCTTTTCTGTAATTTTTTTTTTTTTGCCCTTACCCGTAACATACGCTGTGTCTAGTAACATTAGTAACAACGCGAATATTCTATCCCCTAACATAACAGAGTTAGAGGACTAGTTTGGAGACTGATATGATATCACACTTCTAGATTTATCACTCAGTTAGCAAAGTTCGTGGTTCCACTTGCGCTTACCAGCAACACTTACAGAAAATAATATCTTTGCGAGATAAATAAATTGATAAATAAAATCGGCAAAAAATGGAGCCAGTTTCATTTAGCTTAAAAGGCAAGTTTGATTCCACATTGTTGTATATGACTTGACAATAGATTTATTTATTATAGAATGGGCTAGAGGCCTAGATAAGAGCAGAGTGTCTTCCAGGCGGTCCCCCCCCCCGTAGAAAGTCTACCGCCCCCCCTCCCCTCGAACGAAATGGAATTTATATAGAAAATATATACTTTTAACAGTCCGTCCCCCCCCCCCCCCCGAAAATTTCTCGTGTTCTCTCCCCCCCCCCCCCCCCGGAGAAAAAAGTCGGAAGAAACACTGGATAAGAGCATCATGCTAAAATCACAGACAGCTACCCTGGAAATATGTTCTGCTGTCCTGTAAGTGACCAGTCAAATTCCTGCTAGCTAGAAAATATCAGCGATATGCAAAGTAAGGTTGTTTACTTTACACAGTCGAATGTCTTTAAAACAGCATTGATTTTTTTTAAATGAACCTTTATAACAATCGCGGAAGGTCCATATCCAGCATACTTGAGGAAAACAATAGGAACCGTGATGCTAAAATGGACTGACATTTCTTTTCCTAAAAAAAGGCATTCCTTCTTGCATAGCACTCAAACCGAACCCGAGATATGCGTAGGATGTCATATGTATTTGCATGAACTATATAGTTGACAATTTCACATGCACAGTTTGCGCGAGTTTTTTTTTTTTTCACTGTACAGTTACAACTTTGTTTAAATTAATTTCCGGAAAAGGCGTCACTATCCTGAAACAGAGGCGTGGCGAGGGGGGGGGGTCGGACCGCACCTGCAGACATTTAGGGGGTGGTTACACCAAGGCAAATAAATATAGCAAAATATATACAGAAAACAAAAATTCCACTTCATTAAATATTAATTAGAGTAAGTTAAATAGTAGTTAAGAGCAAAGTTGACAAATCCCGACAAGGGTGGAGAAGGGAGGCGGGGGGGGGGGGGGGGGGGTGACGCCATGACAGAAACCTGCTAATGATAGAGAAAGCATGCTACACCCAGCTGTATTTATAACGACTATGGATACAAATCGTTAGTATTATCTGAGCACAGTATAAAGCAATCACCGTGGGGGGGGGGGGGGGGGCGAGAGGGAGGGAGTTACATCAACTCAACGTTGCAAAATTAGCCTGAGGAAAACTGTTTGGTTGAGAATCGTAATAACTTATGTGTTAATCCATGTATGGGGTGGGGAGGGGGGTTACAAATTAAATACATACAGAAAAAAAATTGAATACATATACACATACTTATAAGTATTTATGGAATATATATATATATATATATAGCCTATATATATAAATAAATAAATATATATATATATGTGTGTGAATGTGTGTGTGTGTGTGTTTATAGAGAAAAGAGCGCATCGTTTATAGCAGTAACTTAGGTGAGATAACATTTATTTTGGGGTGTATGGGAAGATATCGAGGGTTTCACTCCCCACCATCCTTCCCCGTATAATACGGTAGCAGTTTCTTCTAGGTATCTCCCCCCCCCCCACCCTCCCTAATGTACTGAGTGCTTCTATTTCCTCCCCCCAGCGTCCCTAATGTACTGAGTGCTTTACATTTCCTCCCCCAGTGTCCCTAATGTACTGAGTGCTTTACATTTCCTCCCCTAATGTCCCTAATGTACTGAGTGCTTTACATTGCCTCCCCCAGTGTCCCTAATGTACTGAGTGCTTCCACCCCCCCCCCCAGTGTACCTAATGTACTGAGTGCTTTACATTTCCTCCCCCAGTGTCCCTAATGTACTGAGTGCTTTACATTTCCTCCCCCAGTGTCCCTAATGTACTGAGTGCTTTACATTTCCTCCCCCAGTGGCCCTAATGTACTGAGTGCTTCCACACCCCCCCCAGTGTACCTAATGTACTGAGTGCTTTACATTTCCTCCCCTAATGGCCCTAATGTACTGAGTGCTTCTATTTCCTCCTCCCCCCCCCAGTGTCCCTAATGTACTGAGTGCTTTACATTTCCTCCCCCAGTGTCCCTAATGTACTGAGTGCTTTACATTTCCTCCCCTAATGTCCCTAATGTACTGAGTGCTTCCACACCCCCCCCCAGTGTACCTAATGTACTGAGTGCTTTACATTTCCTCCCCCAGTGTCCCTAATGTACTGAGTGCTTTACATTTCCTCCCCCAGTGGCCCACCTAGTGAGCTCCGACATGACCTACTGCCCTAGAAGCCTGTACGACTGCGACAGCCTGGACACCGTGCTGCACAACTCTATCGACGACACCATCACCCCCACCCTCTCCCGAAAGAAATAGAATTTACCAGTGTCCGCCAATCCGGAAATTTTAGTCCGCCCCCTCCCCCCAGACAAATATCAAGTCCCCCCCCCCCCCCCGAAGTAAACAACCTGAAAGGCACTTCTGTAGAGGATATGTCGCGAAGGACTAATCTCCGGTGTTTCTTCCAGGTCTACCGACCCCCCCCCCCCCTCCCCCTAACGAAATGGAAATTTATATAGAAAATATATACTTTATAAGTGTCCCCCCCCCCCCCCGAACGAAACGAAATTTATATAATTTATATAGAAAATATATACTTTTAACAGTGTCCGCCCCCCCCCCACGTAGAAAGTCTACCGCCCCTCCGAAAATTTCAAGCCCCCCCCCCCCCCCCGGAGAAAAAAGTCTGGAAAGGACACTTATGCACCCAATGGCATCACAAGGTCGGATGACCCAGTGCGGTAACCTAGGGCGTCACCCCATCAGCCGATGACTATATGTATGATATATAAAAATGCGGCGTCAATCATACCGGATGATCTTACCTTCTTTCTAACAACTAATAAAGTAGGCTAATGTAACTTCAATATAAATATTAGAAGCTATTAAGCAAAATGGAAGAGCATGCTTTTAAAAATTAGCAATTTTGATATTGTTTCCGCCCTTCCTTGTGACGCTACTAGTAACAGACCGAGGCGTAGCGAGAGGGGGGGTGCGGACCGCACCGGGTGACACCATTTAAGGGGGTAACACCAAGGGCAAAAATAGTAAAATATATAGAGAAAAACTTGAGGGGGGGGGGGGGTGCAAATCGAAAGTTTAGGGGGGGGGGGGTGCAAATAGAAAGTTTGAAAGTTTGTCCCCGGGAAGGGTCACTACGCCTCTGGGAGGGTCATCCATAAATGACGTCACACTCGTAGGGGGGAGTCCGTAATTTTGTGACGATGTGTGATGAGGGGAAGGGGGGGGGGGGGGTTCAGATGTTGCGACGTCACATTTTTGCATTATAAAAAAGCAATGTTAGAAAACGAATTTTAGACGTTATTTCGCATTTTAGATAACTGTTTTAATAAATTGTAATAGTTTAGCCAAGATTTTAGAAAAATATCGATGTTTAAAAAAAATTCAACTGCAATTTTGAAGGGGGTTGTAGGTTGAGGTGTGACCGTGACGTCATTTTAGGGGGGGGGGTCTGGCTTTTTGTGACGACTTGTGACGGAGGGGAGGTAAAAATCGTCAAAAAAAGCGTGACGTCATTTATGGATGACCCCTGGGGGGTGACACCATTAAGAGTCGCACCGGGTGACACCCGACCTCGCTACTCGCTACGCCACTGGTAGCACATGTGGATCCCCATATTCAATTGTTTGTCTAATAATCGAAGTGAAGCGTAGTTTTCTCGCTAAATTTTGCTCATTTTCATCTAGCTTTTAGATCTAATTAAAGTTTTTTTTTCTTCAAAATTTAGCTTTTGAACTATCAATTAGAACTAATAACGAATCATTGTTTATCTTCTTAAACTATCTACAGCTAGATCTAGATCTCTAGAACTTGACTAGATCTAGATCTAACTCTATACTATAACTAGATCTATATATTTCCCAGCAAATTTCAAGAAAGAATACTGCAATTTAATTTTGTTTTTCAATTAACTGCAGTAAACTCCCTTAGGCCTTATGGGTTTGTGTTGAATGATCTTTAAAGTGGGAGGTGGCTATCGCTAGATGGCTCTAAATTACAAGATGGCACCGTCCGTGTATAAGTACCCGGAAAGAAAACATCCAAGAATCTAAACAATAACTTTACAGATTTATTATATTTCTGTGATTAGGCAAGGATAAACTAATACATCGAACAATGAGCATCAAAGCATTCGAACTTGTCTCCGCAATAGAGCGGGTAAAGCTTATGTCGGATAAAGCTAAAACACAGGCAAGTTTTGCTTATTTTTTAGATTTAGAATTGAGACTTTTTTAGATTTTTGGGTAATCTATCGTTTTAGGACGTACGTAAAATCGCCCGCGACTAGTAATGTGAAAAACAGGTGACTCCTTGCATTTTAATAATTATTTCACATTTTGAGTAGGATTTATGTTTTGAAAAATACAAAAATGTTTCCTTGTTTCATTTATGTACCTATTTTTAAACAATTGAATTCAAACTTTTCAGTAATAAATGAACACCAGCGATGTTTCCAACAGATGCAACCATGCTCATTTACTACAGCAGCCATCTTGTTAAAGTTTTATTTTTATATAAGTCACTCTATTTTACAAATGGCCGCTTTTTATATATAGCAAATCTTGCTTGCAGACACTGCTGTTTAAAGTTAATTTCTGGCCTATATTGATATATTTAGCCATTGATTTATGTTTATTATTCATTTATCTATAATATTTTACACAAACATATCACAATATACTTTTATTACAGCATTGACAATGAGGTAACGTTTTCGTACATTAATAGCCGCGGGCGATTTTACGTACCCAAAACGATAGATTACCGATTTTTGCATTTAGAGAGAAATTTATTAGAATTTTCTAATCTACATCTAGACTAGAATCTAGATCTAGACTAGATTCTATAATACTATACTATAGGCCTAATCATCTCTAGACTTATAGGCTAGATTCTAGATGGGCTAAGAAGGTGTGTAACCCTCCTGCCATCCTTAACCCCAAAAAAAGTTTAAAAGTTAAACTAACTAATTTAAACAGACTTTATGTAGATCTAGTATGTAGTATTAAGTAAAATAAAAAAAATAAAATAACAACTAAGAGCCAAAATAAATAGAACCAGCACATTGAAAACTAGCTGCCTCAAACGCCTCTACTTTGACCACCAATCAATAACTTTACTGTAGTCCTAACCTAACCTGCTAGGCCTATTTCTATTAATTAAATTTTGTTCTGTTCCTATTTGTCTAACTAAGGCCTATTTATTTGCATTTTAAAATTATCATTATTTCTCCCCAGATTGAATGTCTCGATGTGTGTGGTAAAAATATGTACATAGGAACCAGTGATTGGTAAATAATAAAAAATTAATTACTTTTTTAAAACAGAGTTTTGGGTTGTAATAAAATTAACCACAATGTAATTGTTTTGTTTGGTTGTCATATTGTCTTTTAGATATTTATTCCGATATATAATAGAAATATTTTTTTATCGAAGTCTAATTTTATCCCATTTTTATCCTTTTATTTGAGATATTTTATGCTTTTCAATTCTACTTTCAGTTTTGTTGTCCACTACAGTATTGAGGAAAAGACACAGGCCAATGGAAGAGTTACTTTTGTCACAGAAAAGCAGGGTCACAAATTTTTAGTTGTGGTATTAATCTTGTTTTTTTTTTATTTAAGATTAATTTTACATTTATAAAATACACATTTTGTTTCACTTGTTTAGTTCTTTTTTCAAAATATAAGGCTTTAATGATTATTTTGTTGGCCTGGATATGCATACAGTTTAACAGTTTTTCATTTGTTAACCCTGCACATTACATATACATATATCCACACAAGTTTTATAGAACAACTATTTTTAGTAATTATTTCTTTTGTTTGCATATAAAGGTTCGAGTTTACCTTGAGTCTTTAGTATAGAAACAATTTTTGTTTTTAATTATGCAGCTTCAATACTGATAAAACATCAATAAAGTAATATCTTAACACCTTACTTCACCACTTTAAAGTCATAGTTTATGGTCTAGACCATCTATTTACATTTGTTAGTATTGCCTTTTTTGTAATTTTGTTGCAGAAAAAACCAGTAGTACAGCTGAGGGCTGCCTCTGCGCTAAATAGAATTATGGTGTTGTGTGATAACACGTTGACTTTGTTAAACATGTTTGATTTAGAGGTAAGCTTTAAAATAATGATTTTTTTTTTCTTCTTTCATGAATAGAAAATAACAAAAACAATTACAATAATTTCTCCAATTTTTTCCTGGCATGTAAGACAACACCTGACTTTCCTAGGTTAAAAGTCGTCTTATATTTATATGCCTGAAAATATTTTATATTGCATGTGTAATGAATGTAGGTACTAAAATCATATTTAGTTTAACTATGAATTTTTAGCTTAAGGTACCTGTGTTGCCCTGCATTTTAAATTAAAGAATGAGAAATAGATTACTTTACAGTTCTAAAATTGTTTATAAACTAAAAGTGACTTTATTTCAATTTTATATAGCCAATTGTGACTGGAGCAAAAATTAAAGGTGTTGTGTGTTTTTGTATTAATGAAAACCCAGTGAGGACGAACCCTTTCAGTGTAGAGGTAGGATGTAATTTGTTTATTGATTTTATTTTTTAGGCTTAGCAAATTATTACTTTTGCACAAGTTTACAAATTTAAACAGAGTGGTTGGGGGCATTAGTGCTCAAGTTTTTTCATTGATTTATGCAGCTAGAAACATTTGATTCAGCTTTATCCAATAAAAGATAGACATCTGTTAATAATTTTAAAAGCATTTTTTTTTCCCTTTGTGTGGCTATAAAAATGTAATGCATACTTATATAATAACCAGAAGATAGTCTTATATAGTAACCCAAAAGTAGTTTTCCTTCGAGTGTCTAATTTTTCCTTATATTTATGTGTCAAGAAAAGCTTAATTATAATTCAGCTTTTATTAGTAACCAGAAGATAGACTTTTATTGTGTTAAAATTTTTTTTTCCCCTTAGATATATGTACCTAAAAAGGTTAAATCAGCTTTAAATAGTAACAAGAAGATAAACTTGTGCTGTGTAAAAAGAAGTGTTTCTTTTAGATTTGTGTGACTAGAAAACATTAATTTACCTTTATCTAATATCCATGAGATAGATTTGTGATTTGTTAAAAATGTATTTTTCCTTAGATCTGTGTGGCTTTAAAGAAAAAGTTGATCCAGTTGTACACAGTAACAGAAGACAGACTAATGCATTTGAGGGATGTTTCTGTTCCAGAACAGCCTTTGTTAGTGGTGGGTTACTTCATCTGCTTCTTGTCTCACTAACTTCTTTGGTTTCAACCATAGTATGAGATTGCATGACAGCTGTTCTTAAAATGTTGATGTGACTGATAACGTAGTTCAAGTGTTGACAACCTATTTAAGAGCCACACTGAGAGTAAGGTGTAGTAATAATAGTTTAATTGAAAAACTACATAGAAAACAATTTTAATTACAATTGTTAACTACAGTTTGCTGACTTAGCTGTTCTGTCAAATCTTCATATTGTATTTAAGTTTAAATCTAGGGTGACTTGTGTTCTCACCTGCAGGCTTTTAGTAAGATCATTAAAGAATGGCATCAAAACCCCAAACTTTTTTCCACTGCTGATAATTTTTAAACATTATATGTATAGACTTTAAAAATAAATTTAAAAAAATTATTTCGATTTAAATTTTGAAACTTATATTTTGAGATTTTAATCTATTTTTGTAACAAGTTGTAAATAATGTAAATGTAAATAATGTGATTTAAATTTTAAGATTTTTATACTATTTTTTGTTACATGTGGTAAATAATGTTAATGTAAATAATGTGATTTAAATATTTAGATTTTTTATACTAATTTTTGTTACAGGGAGTCGATGGAGTGTTTGTCTGTGCTGCCTTGTCTTCCCAGTATTGTATGATAGACATGGATAATGGACACATTACTGACCTGTTTCCTATAGACTCGGATCAAATCCATCCCATAATAAAGCGTATTAGCAAGGTGTCAGTATAAGAAACATTATTTTAGTCTTGGAGCTATTAAAAAACTGCATGGTTACTAGGAAGGTTATATTATCAGGAAAATAAAAGGTAATAGTAGTTTTTTTTTTCTCTTCCATTAGGAAGAATTTTTGTTGAGTGGCCCGAGTGCTCTAGGAATATTTGCTACATCAGCTGGTGTGTCCCAGCGCCCACCCATGCAGTGGTCAGATGGTCTCACAGCGGTCAGTTTTGTACATCCTTACATCCTAGCAATGAATGATGAATTCATTACAGTTCATAGGTACAGTGTTGTTTTATTTATTACAGTTCATAAGTACAGTATTGATTATTTTAGTTAAAGCGAGTATTCTTTAATTTATTACAGTTCATAGGTACAGTGTTCTTTAATTTATTACAGTTATAGGTATAGTGTTATTTTAAGCTATTGCAATAAATGGGTACAATTTTATTTACTTTATTACAGGTGTTGTTTAATTTATTTCAAATTTAAGTTACATTGTTGTTGCAAAAAGTGTTTTTTGTAAAATTATTAAAATATAATCCTGTGGTGAATTACCTGCAACACATTGTTTTAATGAAAGATTATTGGCAAGAGGTGTGTCAGATTCCATTAAACAAATGAGTAGTGTGTGTGTTGTTCATTTTAACACAATGCAATGATGTCTCACGTTTTATGTTTTAGTATATTAGACCAGCAACAGAAACAAGCCATCCCTTTTCAAGGAGGAGTCTACCTAGGTGACTTTGATGGGAGGATTTTTGTCGCTTCTAGTAGAGAAATTTACTCATTAGTCCCTATACCTTTTGAGAAACAGGTCATTGGTTTTTTCTATAGATTTAAAAAAAAAAATAGCATTTTTACATTCTACATATTAAATTGTTTTGTATTTAGAATTTTTTTTGGTGTATATAAATTTAATTACTATCATTTTGACCACCTATAAGAGAATTTATTGCTTTATTCAAAACACAAAGATACAAGATTACAGGGTAACTTTCTGACTAAATAAAAAGCATTATGCTTCTCTTTTAAAGAAGGACAACTTTTTAAAAATAAATTTCAGTTTTAGCTTTTTTTAACAAAAATATTTATTTTCATAAAATAAAAATATTTGATGTTGCAGTTTACTTAAAAATTAAAGACTGCTTCTTCATTATATTTATGATTAAAAAAGTTATATATAATTAAATAACTGCCAGTCTTCTAATGTAATTATTGTTTCCAGTCATTTAATCCCTTATGTTAATTATTGCAGCATATTCTTCTACACCTGGTCTATTAATAAATTACAGTTTTTTTTTATTTTTTTATTTTTAGATCCAAGCACTTTTGGCAGACAAACGAGTAACTGAAGCTTTGGAACTTGCCAAAAATGCTAACAAGACGGGAATGACAAGAGACAAGTTTCTTAAGGTAACATTATCTTTCCCATAGATATTTAAAAACAAATTATAAATAAATGTTCAATTTTGTGACATGTCTAATTTACCATTTTAAGCTGTTTTTACCACCCTCACTTAAATTAATTATATAATTTAAAATGCAATATTTTTGAAAATTTTAGATGTTCAAAAGAATCCAACAACAGGCAGCTTTCATAGAATTTTCTAGACAACAGTTTGACGAGGCCAGTCAGTTATTTAAAGACAGTGCTATTGATGTCAGAGAGGTAACCACCTGCAGGCAATTGTTTTTTTTTTTTTTTGGGGGGACTTTAGGCCCAACCTGTGGCTCAAACTTAGGTTACCAAGACAAAGAACAGCTGGAAAACTAAGAATTTTTATCTTTATACTAATTACTAGACTTACTGGCTTGGAGAGTTTACATTGATTTTAAGGTTTATCTTAATAAATAATCATATTTGTATCGATTTTCTTTTACAGTATTATTGTAAAATGAAAGTATATACTGATTAAATTAAATAAGTAATTATTTAGTTTTAAATAGTCAACTTATATATGCCATAGCTATGATTTAATAACCTCCAGCTAAGGAATTTTATTATAAAACTCTATAGTTGTTTTCTTCAGGAAAGGTACTTTAATGTTTTAATTAAGTACATTTTTCATTTACTTTTCCAGGTGATCTGTTTATACCCTCACTACCTTCCTTCAAATGTCAACTTCACCCGGTCAGTGCCTCCCCTACATGAAATAGCAGACATCAACCAATTGTCCAAGGCTGATGAGAAAATCAAGACAGAATACAAGGATTTCTTAAAGACATTCTTAGAAGATATTAGAGGCACCAGCTTGACTCATGGCTACAAAAGGGTACAGTGGATTTATATTTTTACTGATGTTCAAAATAGATATATCAGATTTTAAAGCTACCAAATGAAGTGGTTACAAAATGTTATAAAAGGTATTAAAAAATGTCTGATGAGAAAATCAAGACAGAATACAAGGATCTCTTAAAGACATTTTTAGAAGATATTCGAGGCACCAGCTTGACTCATGGCTACAAAAGGGTACAGTGAATTTATATTTGTACTGATGTTCAAAATACATGTCAGATTTTAAAGCTACCAAATGAAGTGGTTACAAAATGTTATAAAAGGTATTAAAAAATGTCTGATGAGAAAATCAAGACAGAATACAAGGATTTCTTAAAGACATTTTTAGAAGATATTCGAGGCACCAGCTTGACTCATGGCTACAAAAGGGTACAGTGAATTTATATTTGTACTGATGTTCAAAATACATATGTCAGATTTTAAAGCTACCAATGAAGTTGTTACAAATTCTTAAAAAAGGTATTAAAAAATGATAATCGGGTGTTCAAAATTTGAGACAGTTGGCTTAGTTGTATAACACCATATTAAAAGTTCTTACCATTCGCTATCTTCATTTGCCCCTATCAGTTGTAATGTCTTCTTCTTTATTCTTTATTGGAAGGGATTTCCTACAACACAGTTAAACATTACATGTCAACATGTTTCGCACCATGAGGCCAGCTGACTCTGATTTCAGGCTGCTTTTGTTTCTGGATTTGCTTCCATAGCCTTGGTCCACCCAGCAATTGTTTATTGTGGAGTTTTCTCTCCTAGATGGGTTGCTGTCCCCAGCTAACAAGCTTGATATGCCTGTGGGTCCTTAGTGGAGTTAGCAGTTATATGCTCTTCTGCTTGACCAAGCCTTCCAGATTGTAATGTCTGAAAGTGTATATTTTGGACATGTTTGTAGGAATGAAACTTTGGCAATAATTTTACTATTAATCTGAACCTTTCACTGTGTTGTGGTCCTGCAAAGACAATAGTTCAAAACTGTGATTATTAAGAATTAAATCAGCATCAGAGAAAACTGTTCTATTAGCCAATTGAAATTTTATGTTTTTTTTCAGGTAAAAAAATTTTGTTTCTGACAGTAAAATAAAATCACTCTACATAACATTATCCAATTTTTTAAATATCCCACAGGAAGTAGATGTGACTTTACTTAAATTGTATGCTGAGTCTGAACCAGAGAGGTTATCAGAGCTTATAGCTGGGGATAATGGCTGCGATCTGAACGACTGTGTTGAGTGGTTAGAAAAACATGAGAGGTTGCATGCTCTAGGTTTGCTGTATCAGCGACATGGTGAATGTGATAAGGCTCTGAGTGTGTGGACGAGGTAAGTAAAAATACTTGCTTTAATTATTTGTTCTGTTTAAAAAGTTTGTATTTTACTTAGTACTGCTTTTTAAAATATTTTTAGTAGCCTTATTTATTATGTAACACATATGGTTACCAGCCAAAGGGGGATAAAAATATGAAGTTTTTATTCATTGGGTTGCGGCCCCTGTGGGACCGCAACTGAACTGTTGACGTTGTTTTTTTTATGCTTTTGTGAGCGAAATTACCTGTGTTCCATGTCATGTGACATGGGATTGTGGGTAGTTTCATGCCTAGCCGTGTCGCACACGCAAGGCTGCTGTCTGTGGACCAAGATGTAGACCTAATGAAGTTCTTTTGGTTTTTTGGATCTTTTGGTTTATCTTGGCTAGTTTGTTTTGTACTACTGTGTTGCATCGCCGTCATGGCTCGATGCTGTAAATAAAGCGAGTACTGGACAACAACTGTCGGTGTCGGTGTGTTCTTAATCTCAGGGTCAGCCCGTCTTAACCACAACACCTCAGTGGGTAAAAGCATCCCCACTGAGTGAGGGTTACATTTACCATATGTGTTACACAGCCCCCCTCACAAATAAATGTACAATGGAATTCACATTTACATTTACAACTCATACATAATAGTACTTAAAAAAATGTAGACCTAATGAAGGTAGTTATATAAATTATGTTTGTTAAAATACTTATGTATTCCTGCTAGTGTTGCATGTGCACACTAGTTAGGGTGAGTATTAATATAAGTATTTATTTGAAGTACTACGTATTGGTACTTGTTGGCAGTACTGTGTACTGGCCAAAACATATTTTATTGTTACCCGTGTATATTGTAGCCTACACATGGTGTTGTCAGGAATGTAACTTTTTTTATTTACATTTGTTTTAGGGCTACAGTTTTTCTTTTGGTCTTTTGGATTTTTTGTTTTCTTCTTGGCTAGTTTGTTTTGTACTACTGTGTTGCATCGCCGTCATGGCTCGATGCTGTAAATAAAGCAGTACTTGACAACAACTGTCGGTGTCGGTGTGTACTTAATCTCAGGGTCAGCCCGTCTTAACCACAACACCTCAGTGGGTAAAAGCATCCCCACTGAGTGAGGGTTACATATTACTCACTGGATCAAACTTTATTATAATGCAAAAAACTAGTGTTTAAAATGGTATTAACTTTTTTTGGTAAATCTAAAAAATATAAACAAGTATGCTTTTAAAGAAACATATACACACAAAATTGAAATTGCTTAATCTTTGAAAATTGAGTTTCATATTTTGGTCAAGAATACATAATAGCCCTTTCTTTTTTATCAGCCTCTTCTTAAATTTTTTTACACTGCTTTTAGTGGGGAATATTTTTCAGCATTTTGTAATCATGTTGGCTACTTTTATTTGAGATTATGAAGGCTATGACTAGGATTAGATTGGCTAGGAATAGTGTTGGTACTTATGTAATAAATGTATTTACCAAATTTTATGTTTGTACTTTGCCTGCTACACAATAAAAAAAATACCCAATTTAAAAAAAAAAAACAATATTCTACATGACTTAACAAAACTGCATTTAATCATTTCCAGGCTTGTTGACAGTAAAACAAATGACCCAACTTTCCCAGGATTAGAATTTGTGGTGGAATTTTTGTCCAGGTGAGAACCTACCACTTCACTACCTTCATAAAGCAAGTGTGTGTGTGTGGGGGGGGGGTATTTTTTAATGATTTATTAAATATCTTATAATTCTAAATTTTCATTAAAATGAGATAGTTAATAGACAGTTACAAAATACCTAACCTTGTCACATAAAACTAGTAAACAACAATTTACCTTTAAAAAACACCAGGCAGTGATTGACTTTTATTACATAAAGAATAGGGTAAAAAAAAACTTTATTTTAACATCCTTCCTTTTATTACACAATTTTACAATAAATAAATTTTAAAAAATTGAAATTTACTACAACCATAAAACATTGGATGATTGAAAATAACTTTTTAAAAAACAAAAACAAATCTAATCAGTTTGGCAGATCATGAGTTGTTATGGAAATATGTAGATTGGGTGCTCGAGAAAGATGAGGAGCTTGGTGTTAAGGTTAGTAACCTTTAGCAAAATAATACACAGGAATATTATGCAACATTATAAGTTAAATTGAAAAAAAAAAAACAATACCGTTTTTTAAAATCAAAAGCTAAAAACTCTTTTAGCAAAAAAATTGCAAAAACAATTGTTCTGCTTGATATAAAATCATAAAAGTTTCTGTTTTTTATTAGTCATGAATATTGTATTTTTGAATTACTTAAATTTTCTTTTAAGACTGTGTAATTATTTATTCTAATATATTATTTATTTAAACAATAAACACATGCTATATATTTTTAAATTTGATTTTTTATTGTTAGATTTTCACAGACAGACCAAATAATGAAGCCCAGTCTGAAAGACTCAGACCTGAGACAGTTGTTGATTATCTTCATAGGTTTCCCAAAGCTGTCATTACATATTTAGAGTATTTAATTTTTCAAAGGAAGTTAGAGGTTAGTAGTAGCTTTAAAAAATATAAGGATAAAAAAAAACTTTTTTGTAAATTATGACAATAGTTGTAGAAATAAACTTATGTTTTTGAATTCTGTTTTATATTTGTTTCATTTTCTTGAAAGTAATGTGGGTCCACTCTTTTTTTGTAAATATTAATTGCTTCATCTTTTAAAAACAAGAATGTTATTTGTCAACTGAACATGTTTTTTTTAATAAAACATTTAATCATCAATAAAATTTGCTCCACAGAAAGAAAAATATCACACACATCTAGCAGTATTGTATTTAGAGGCTGTTCTCAGGTTGATGGATACAAATAATGTTAAAAAGGAAGAAATAGATATAGCGAGGTGAGGTTGTTTTTTTTTAGAATGTACAACTATTTGATTAAGTATATATGCACAGTTATATGTACAATAATATTTTCTTACATGTTTACTTACATATTTTATGAACAACATTTGAAAAGAAAATAAACTGAAAAGCAACTGGTTGATGTTCATTTTCAGGTCCAAACTTAGACACATGCTACAGATATCTAACTTGTACAGAGTTCAGCTCATTTTAGGAAAGGCAAAAGAAAAAGAGATGTATGCAGAGTGTGCTATACTCTATGGCAAGGTTATTTATGGATTTAATTCTTTCAATAGTAATTTATCTTAATTACAATACTAGGATAAACATTTTTAGAATATTGTTTATTAAAAATAATCATTTTGTTTATATTTTTTTATCTCTACCCTCTTTTTTTTTTAAAACATCCAAATAAAAATGATCGAATAACACATTAAACTTGTTTTAGTCCAAACCCTTGAATCTCTTTATTTTTAGAAAATCTAAAATGGCATTATTCTAAAATAAAAATCCTGGCAGCTAGTTAAAATTTTTAAATAAAATGATTTTACTTTAGTTTTTGCAGTGGTGTAATATTGATTACAAATGTATTCTTCAGCTGGAAGAGCATGACAAAGCCCTTAGAATTTTGGTCCATAAGCTCAAAGACTATGGGGCAGCAGAGAACTATTGCCAGGTAAACTCTCAAGGCAAGGACTCCATGTACAGGAAGAGATTGTTCCACATTTTACTTAGTGTTTACTTGGATCCATCCTATGAGTGAGTTTTGATTACACTTTTTGGATTGTTTCACATTTTTTCTTGTGTTTACTGATTAAACTTTTTAAATAGTTGGATTGTCCCATACTTTACTCAGTGTTTACTTGATTATACGTTTTTGAACACTTGGAATATACTATTTTTTGTGTGTTATTGTTAAAAAATTATTTCATTATTTTATTGAAAATAATTTCTCTATGTAAATATTGTAAACAATTTATTGATAAGCTCAAAAACATTTTTATTCAAACATTTTTGTTAAAATGATTGTTATCAACAACACAGTTAAAAATGTACCATATGCTAAAAAATATATCACCTTAGTAATTTGTTATGCTAATATACATTTTTAGTTTTATTTATACTGTAAGTAAAGTTTTACCCATGTACTTAAAAAAATATTTGACTCTTCATCTCAGGAGGAGAGATACATTAGTAGCACCAGCCATTGCCTTGTTGAACAGTTCTGTGGCTGAGTTTGATACAATAAAGGTGGGCTGTTGATTATTTGTTCTTCTTCTTTGTTTTTAATTGTAAAATATTAAATGTCAACATGTTATAAGCCAAATGGCCCATTGACTCAGACTTCATTCAGCCTGCTGTTTTTTTTTCTGGATTTACTTCCATAGTTTATGTCCACCCAAGAACAATTTGCAAAGGAGTGGGTGCTTGATTTTGTTACCAAGCCTCATCCCCCTAGCGTCAGAACTCTTGGAGTTTGCTATCAACAGCTCTCTTTCCAAACCACATCCCCTGTTTATTTATGTTGTTGATTGGCCAGATAAACAGTTCAGTGTTGTATTATAAATGCAGTGGTCAGGCAAAAATAGTCTTCAAAGTCAGTGAAAATTCTTAAGTTTACAGATTTTAAATAATGCTATGTACTCTTGTAGGGCTTAATCAATGCTAAATTTACTGGTATCAATTTACTAGCTCTTACTTTAATCCCTGGAACTTAATCTTCTAGCAGTACTGATGAATGCTTATGATATGTTCATGATAAATATTAAATCAACTAACATGTGAACTACAACTACTAGTAAAAAGTTAAAACAGCCCACCTTGAATGAAGACAATGAAGATCAGAAAGAACCATAATCTTCAACTTAAACTTTGTGAAAATAGATCGTGGTTCTTGGGGCTTTTTAATTGTGGTATATTTCTTACAAAAGGTTTTGTTATCAATAAAATTTGTAAAATTGTATTTTATTAAGTTTCGCAACCTTGCAAACTAAAATTTTACAAATGTAATTTCAGGTCTTACAACTTTTGCCTGAGACATGGAGTGTTGGTTTACTGTCACAGTTTTTAACACGGGCTGTCAGAATGAGCATGCACAACTACAGAATGACTCGCATCCAGCGCATGATGGCTAGGGGAGAGAACCTTTCAGTTAAACAAACTTTTATTGAGATGCAGAGGGATGCTATAATTTTAAATGATGAAAGGTAATTACTGGTGCTTAATTCTAAGTAAATGTTAACCAATCTTTTTTTTTTACTCTCTAAAGGTTACTTATTTTATATTTATAATATTTTGTCTTATGTATCTCCCATTCAATAGTACTAGAATTATTACCTCCCTTATTATTTTGTTGAAAATATTTTCACTTTAATAAAGTTGGTTTTTGAGATTATTTTTTTTTGTATAATCTATCAGGGTGCTCTTAGCTTGTTCCTATTTTATTGATAGAAAAAAAATTTGTTCGGCAGTTTTTAGTTAAGTTACATTTTTTTTTGGTGACTTGATATACTCACCCATCTTGAAAACGTTTAAGAAGTTGTTTTTTTTTTTTGGGTTGCAGGTTATGCGCCGTGTGCAATCGAGCCTTCAACGATCCATCCTTTGTTCGCTACCCCAACGGTGTGATCACGCATGTTCACTGTGCCAAAAACAAATATATCTGCCCGGTGTCTGGGAAGCTTTTCAGTGCTGGACGCAGATGACAACAGCTAGACTGATAGAAGCTAGGATACAAAGTTTGGTTATTTTGTAGTAGAGAAACTGTTCTTCATTGATCAGAATAGAAACAACTCTACTAATAGAGTCTAGGATAACAAGTTTGGTGGTAACGGAACTGTTCTTCATTGATTAGAGTGTGGACCCAGCGCAAGGCCATTTCAAACCCATTAAATTTTCATGCTATATAGTACTTTGAATTACATATACATACAGTTGTTTACTTTTAAAACAGTAAACATTTAACAGGTTTACAGTAGAGATTGGATACTAAAATATAGCCAAGATTTTCATTATGGTATATTTCTTTCATTATTTTAGAATTTCTTTGTTTATTTTATTAATTAATTTTAGAAAGTATTCTACTGTACTTTTTAAAAATATGCCTCTAACAGATAAAAGTCAGGAGTAACGTATATCAAAACTTTGTATTTTAAACAGTATGCCTATTAATTTCACTACAAAGTATATTTTTACCTATAGTATTAATGTGGATAATGGATTCTGTAGGGTCCATCCATTTTTTTAATAGGACATACAAAAATAGTACATAAGCATTAAAATGCTCTGATAATTTATTTATTTTTATAGTAAAACAACTATCCTCTCAAAAAAGTTTGAAAAAACACAGTTGGTTTTGCACAAAATTATTGACAAATGATATAGCATTGCTGTTTACAATTTAAAGTTTGTTTTTTTTCTAAAGAAAATCTTGTGCAGCAGGTATATTTTAAAATCACTAAATCAACAGTAATTTTTGAAAGCACACTAGAAATGTACACACTTTCTAAACTAAATAAGAAAAGTAATCATTCAAACATAGTAGGTAAAATTTTTAAGTGTGTTAGCATTAGAAGCCATCCACTGTCTTGGGAAAAAAATGTTAAATTCACTTCACCCTAAAAATATTTTAACTAATCTTATTATAAACATTATATTTTTAAAAACGATTTTATGCTAAAGCTGATTTCAATCTTTGTTTTCTAATTTTGAAACAAAAATGTTTTAGTTATAAAGATATATATTTCTTTAAATATTGAATTTCAATTTTACACTTAAAGGCAAACAGTTTCCAATGTTCTCCAATAAGTAATTTTTAATACATTTTCTATCTTATGCATGGTGGTTTTCCTGCTATGTCATATAGTTCTTCTTTAAATGGAGTTGTAGAGTTTTTCTGGTACTTTCTCTAACACTAAACTTTATAAGCTTACAGTGTTGTACAGAATAGTGTTCTAAACATACACCTCAAGGCTGGTACAAGTTCATAACTGTGTTCCAAACACTCACCATTAGTACAAGTTTAAATCACTGTATAATTTTCCCATACTTGCAATAAATTTTAGTTAATGCATTTAAAACTATGTAAAACAAATCGTTACACTTATGCCTATGTTAAGTTCATAAAGTAGCATTTAAAATATTTTAAATGTAATATAAATTGGATACATGGGGCGGTGTGGTTGGGTAGTAGAGCAATCAACTGCTAACCTGAAATTCTCGAGTTCAGATCTTAGTCTGGACTTGAGTCTGCAGGAAGACCTTGAGTCCACCCAACTCATCTTAGAAAAAGTAATAACGGATGGGCATAGTGCTGACCACATATATCCCTTCATATGACGAGGTTAAGAAACTATAACTCTACTTCAACTTCCCTATGGATTGTTATATATCTGAAAGGGGAACTTTGCTTTCTAATTTGCTCATGCTGCCGATATAACCATTTAACAAACAAACTTTGTCCAGCGGGGGCCATTAGGATCCTACTCTAGTGATTTTGTTATTTTTATTTCCCCACCCTGTTTGTCACATGGCACACAACTTTGATGGCTTGTCTTAATCTTGCTCAATTTACAACTCTATGCCAACACCTGCAACATTGTTGTTGTTTTGTTATCACTTGTTACATATTGATAACTTTTGATCAGTGTGCAGATGCTATGTATGTACAGTTGTACAATTTTTCTTTTTTTTAAAAAAAATCTTAAGGAATTTTTAAAAAATTGCCTCCATGCTTACCACAAAATGAAAGTACTATGGAAGAATAACCCCTATATTATTTATCCCTTGTGGCATACTATATCAAATGACAACATTCCCATACACCTATTTCTGTCAAGACTATAACTGCTGTTTTAAAAACTGATAATCACACATTGATTTAAATTTCTCTCGAAATACAATGTTTGAAGTAACTAGAGGTTTATCTTTTCTTTTAAAGTTATTAAAGGTCTATAAAGTTTATATAAGATTTTATTAAAATAAACAAGTTTGTTTATTTTTTTTTAATATTAGTTTTTTTTTTTTAAATTTCAGTGTACAGAATCATTGCATTCTTACTTACTAGTTTTGACCACTGTATCAGATATTTTTTTTTTAAAATGTATTAATTTAGGCACCAGATATTTTCAAGGCCTTAAATTAAGTGTTTAAATCAAAGCCTAGTTTAATTAGGCCATTGTTAAGTTTTAAAATGAACCACTATCATTCCTCATCTAATATGATGTTGTCACTATGAATGTATTATTGTTCAGTTGTCAATATTCACATAGGAAATGTGCAATTATATTATACAATTCTTCTTTTCATTCATTTGGTCATTCTTCCGACCTATTACTCATAATTTTAAACCTCATTTTATACTGAGCATGAAAGTTAACATTCGCTTCTGTAGAGTTGTGTAATAGTCTGATTATAGTTTGATTAGAACATGTTAGTAGTTTCCCTCTGAAAATGTGTGGTTGTGTAGATGTTAACTTTTGTGACATTTTAAAAATATTTAAATATTATAATTATGTATTGATTTAATATATTGTTCTGTTGTACAGCCTTCTTTTATGCAACAGCTTTCCTACATCTAGTTAAAGTATGTTATCCTTTGAGAAAATTATTGAAAAAAATACTGAAATTAGCGGCATGTGGGAATTGATACTAACAAAACTGGTTTTGAGATGTGCTTTTATTTTCTTTAGGCCTGTATGTATCTGTATGTACCTGGTGCATGGGTGGAGGGGAGGGGGGTAGTTTGTGGGAGGAGCTAGAGCACTAAAATTGTGATATGTGGGTCAGCTAGCATAGGCTTTACTGTAGACCCTCCCATCACCTTGGCTTACTAACCAGACTGATTTTTTAGTAAAAACAACTGGCTTGGGAAATAGTTAAAATTAATATTAAGCATCAAGTTTTTGGCTGATTGAGGATTTGTTAATACATTCATTGTTCACTTACAAATATTCATAAAACTACATTCACTGAGTTAAGCGCCAGATTGAATTACCACATTAAGCTAGACAGAGATAAAATAAAAAGAGATTCAGAGAATCATATAAATTACTACAAATTATTTGATTCCGATTCAGACAAAATATATTAATTATATTGAAATATTTTACGAGGAAAGTTTATTCTCAAGAAAAACACATTGTTAAACTTTGTTTCATTTACACTGATCCTATTTTAAAATAATAATCCATAATTTTGAAATAACACAATGATGAAGACCAGGATTTAGCTGAGTTGTTGGTACAAAAAAACACACAGCTATTGTGTTAAGAGGTAAAAATGTGTTGATTATAAAAACTCTTTTAAAATGTGATGATAATTAAACTGATTAGATGTTGTGTTACAGTAGCTGGTCAGTACTGTTCATGTGTTCAGATGGTTCTATAATGTATGACTGACTCCAAGACCTATGTTTTTTCATTAAGGTACTTGTGAGAAATGCTCTATTTGTATATACATTTTGCTGTAATAAATATTTCAAGAACAACAGAGGCTTTCAAATTTGTGTTTATACAAATATACGCCTGCAATAAAACACCTATTTCTTGTGTTTTCTGTGATTTAACATAATGGTCTTTAAGCAAGTTAGCTAAACCAGGTATTCACGCTACAATCGAGACTAAAATATCCTTTAGTCAGAAATGCAGAGTTGTAAGTTTCCTTTTTGTGGATAATTTTCCACACAAAATTTGTGAAAAAGTGAATTTAAAAAGCAAGTTTAATTTCAATTTATAATTTGGTCTCTCCTAGTTACATTAATAATTGCAAAGAACTGGGTATGGTGCTCATAATGAGAAGAAAATTTGTCACTTATTAATGTAAAAAGGACGCCATGGCCTAGCGGTAGATAGTGAGCTAGACTGTTAACCCGCAAACCTCGAACTCAAATCTGGGTTCAAATCAGTAGAATGTCAAGAGTCCACACAGCTCTGATGGGTACCTGACTCACATTAGGGAAACAAAGGTGGCTTCGCAAAGTGCTGACTACATTATCCCCTTGTATGCCACAGTCATTGAAACAGATGAACTCTACTTCATCTGCCCCATGTATCTTGGGCCCAAATGGGAAAATATGATGAATGTCTAAAAAGTTATATCAAGACACATTTGCAATTTAATTATGACAAAAAGTCATCATTTCTTTAAAGATAGGTAACTCAAGTCAAATTACATATTGAAGCATGTCAATTTAGCAACACAATAATTTAACAAAAAGTTTTCAGTTGTTTTATTTCTCAAATAATTATATTTCCGTATTGAATTTAGCCAGGTAACATAACTATTTTGTATAAATAAAAACTTTAAAAGGCAAGTGTTAAAAGATCTTCACTATATTATTACAATTATATTACAACTGTGATTAATCTTTTGAACATAGTTCTCTGTAATAATCTAGTCTCAAAAAACAGAAATAAAATAACAAGAATTAATTCTGATTAAAAAAAACAACTTTAAAGGCCTTATAACAAATAAGCAAAACATAAATAACAATAGTAAAATTTCATTAAAAAGTGTTGAATTTTCAGTTAGATCTAACTTTTCAATAATTGAAATTAACAAACAGATCACTCAGAGAAAAAATAATCACTCTTTAACTATGCATCAGGTAGGCCTTTTCAGCTTGTTTAATGGGTGATCCACTCCACTAAATGTGGAAGAGGATCCACATTAGTAGTTTCTTATAGAGGTAGGAATGAAAGCATAATACAACACACATGAATTGCTGATGAGAATACAACAAAATAAATAGTCTTGTTTGTAGTTTTCAAATGTGAATTACCCTTATGTTGATAGATTATGTGATTACAATAAACCATTCTGTGAGCTATAAATGATTAAAAAATTTGACAATTACAAGTCAAGCAAAAACTTAAATAATGCTACTAAAATCTATAGCCAAAAACTTCATCAGTAATTAGATCTTCACAAAACATCTTTTGTTTTAAGCTTTTTATATAATAAGTGTAAATTCCTTGATCATTATTTAATAATATGTAAGCAAACTGGCACCTGATTATAAAAAAAAAAATTAAAATATATGTGTAACCATATTAAGAAGGTAAAACTCAACCATTATTGCTATGAATCTTTACTATTTAATTTGAATATTTATTTTCACATGGAAGAATAGTTTAATGTTATTGCTTTTGTGTCTACACTTCTAGTTTTAAAATAACACAACTAAGTTTCCTGCAAATGAACACAGGACTTTTTAAAGTTTTCGAATAAAAAAACAAACAACCTTTGTCCAAAATTAAACAACTGCTGCCTTGCAAATCCAGAAAGAAAAGCAGGTCAAAGTTGGAGTCTACTGGCCATATGGCGCGTAACATGTTGACACATTATAATTAATTATATTGTAGTAAATCACATCCAATATTACAATTAAGAATAAAGAAGAAGAGTTGAACTTAATATTTATCTATAGCATGTAAAGAAATAAACAGTCTCTGTCCAAAAATGTAAACAATAAAAAAATCCAAAGAAACATAATAAGGTAGCATTTGTGAAATAGGGAAATTGCTGATTCAGAATAAACTAAAGATGAATTTTATACATATAAACTGAATCTAGAAGAATAAAGGTCAAAGAAACTGTTTTACAATTCAAAGCTGAAAGAAGAAATATAATTAGAAATTAAAAAGTTATTTAGAATTCAGACAGTTTTAAAGAAACAACATAAGACAAATAAAACACAAAAATGCAATAGAAATCTCTGTTAAGCCACAGAAAAATTGTAATACCAACAATAGAGATCCAACGTAAATTGTAAAACACAAATTTGAAATGAGAAGTTATAATTTCCATCACATAAAAAGTTTTATTTCATGGAAACAACAAACTTAAATATTTGTAATAATAAATGTATGAAATCTTAGTTTAAACAGCCAATATTGCACTCATTGCATGTAACTTTTCTTATCAGTAAACATTTAATTTAATGGTCATTTTTGTTTTTTATTTTGGAAAGAAAACATATATATATCAGTCATTAATTTTTTATATAATTCCTTTAAAAATAGAATTAAACTAATGAAAAATTAGGAGTTTCTAGATATTAATTAATATCTTTCATGAAGTAAATATTTTAATCATTAAAACAATACTGTATCACATTCAGTCACATAAATAGGAATGTTTAATATATGGAAAGACTAGCAAAATAATATAATTTTATGTTAGTTTTTTTTAAAACACTTTGTATAAGAACAACAGTCATTTAATTTACTGTAAATCATCACTGGATGGAATGAAAAATATTTTTCTATAGTATCACAGCTCTTATTGGACGGATTGTATGTGGTAGCAAAAATGTTATATTTATAATACTTATATAACAAGATGAAAAATAAAATGTTTTGTAAATATTCCTTGATATTTTAATAATAGATAAAATTGGTCTGAGGATTAACAAAATCCAGAAAAAATGTATTCTGTAAAAGTATCGAATTTTATACATTTTTTATTCAAAATGTCTAAAAAGTTCTATGCATCCCTAAGTACCTCGAGTTAAAATTTCTTTCTAGTATTATTTCTACCAAGTGGTATCTACTATCACAGTTTACAAATTTAATAATACTCTTGTCCGTTTCGCTTCTTACGAGGCTTTTTATTAGATACGGAAGGTAGTGCATCAAGGCGGGTGGGCTTTCTTATCATCTCGTCAATATGGAGCTGTCCATGGACTTGTGCCGCACGTAAATCTTTACTCACTGGGTCCTCGTCAAATTGGAAATTGTGCATGTTTGAGTTGGAACCGGGAACTGATGGCCGTAATGAGCCTCGTACTTCTTGCATATCTAAAAAAATATATTATTTTGTTCATATAAAACATATTTTAACACTTTAAAGACTGTTTAATGAGACTTGCAAATATATGATAACACTGAGTTTAAATAAGCAGCTAAACAATTTCACTAAACATGTCATAAGCACACCAGAAAATTGTTTAAAAGAAAGATTTTATTCTAGATAAGACACAAAAATATGCTCTAAACGTTTCTAAAAAAATGTTCTCATACATTCAACTAATATCCAAATTAAAAATGATTATTTCTGCAAAACAGAGAATAATATTAAAGAGAAAATCTGTTAAAATTATAATAAAGTGGCCAACTTACTAAATTTGTTAACTGATTCATTCGAATTTATAAGCTGTGAGGCCCTCCTTGGTTGAAACAAATGGCTCTGATCCTCAGCCCGAAACAGTTTCTAATTTTTAAAAAATAGATTAATATAATAATATTGTTAAACTCTGCACATTTAAGAATGCTTGAAAAACGACCTTTGTACTTTTACAAAAATTGTAAGTAGTTTCCAGCAATTTAAAGCTTATAACAAGACAAATGGTCTTTTATAATTGAGTTTTAGCAGTTACCTCTCTTAGCTTTTCATCCTCAAAGTCTTCTTCAAAGTCTCCATTCATCCCCATTGTTCTATTACGAGCATCTATCTTTCCATTTGGTAGAACTGTCCCTATGAAAGATGTTGTATAAATGATGTTTTAATGAGAGAATTAAAGCTTTCTATATTTTGAAAATTGATGTAAATGATGTAATGATGCTTAACGACAATCTTAAATAACTATGTTGTAATCTTGAGTACTAGTTATAAGAAGTCAATGTCTTAGAGACATTGGAAAACAAGTTAAGGATTTAAAGAAAAGCACTCCATAATTCCTAGCATATATTAAACTTCAAGAAATTAAGTAAAATCGGACAAAGATCTAAACAAATAAACTACATCTTTATTATCTGAGGTTTTAAGAATATCTCATTATTTATAGAGGATGCTGCTTTCCTTTTAAATAGAATTTATATCTGTTTCATCCTTATATTTAGATAAGTTAACTATTTTGATATTGACATGACATTTGTTTACAATAAACAAAAGATTTGTCTTGTTCACTCACCTGTAGTGGGCAGAGCAGTCCGGTCAATCGACAGTTTAGGCAGAACCCACTTCTCCATCTCCTCGTTGTACTTGCTCTCCATACGTATTCTGTCCAGATTGTAATAGTTGCAGTCACGTCTCAGGCAAGGGTGGATTTTGTCCACTAGTGCCTCCAGGTAAGCAATCTGTCTGTCCTGTTTTCTGATTGTGTCAAGGTAATCCATGCGGTCAAACTCAAACTCTGATTGTATGTCGATTATGTCCCTTTCAAGGCTCTCAATCTAAACACAGAACAAAAATGATTTGTTTTAAAATATTTGATTTCTAAAGTAAAGAATGTGTTACTGAATTGATTGATAATAAGATTTAATTAAAACATATCTAAAGTAATAGATTAGTTTAAATTGATTTCTAATTTTTTAGTGTTAAGCTTTTTAAACTTAATTAAAAACAATAACTGTGAAATGATTTATTAGTGACTGAAGAAAGAGAAAACAAAAATATTACCCTGGTTTTTCTTTCTTCTAGAACTTGTGTTTTCACTCTGAGCTCATCCTGCACACTGTCAAATATACTGAGCATAATTCCATCATCTTCTAAATTTTTGTTGGCAGCTGTTAAAAATTTTGAAAATATGAATCATTTAAACAAGAAAAACATCACAGAGAAAACAGTACTAAAACACCCCTCTTTCAGTAAACACAAGTTATCTAAAATATAATCTTTATTATAAAATATATTTATTTATTAAATAGATAACACATATTTCATAAGATACTACTTTAAAAACTAATGTAAGCACTAATTCTAAAATTATCTTGTATCATAACACTGAACCTGTAGCAAAAATACATTTAAAAAAAATTTGAACTGTAGTAGAACAATTTAAATCTAGCATCAGTCTAAAAATCGGTTAGTACAACCAACTTATTTCTAACAGCCTTAGCTTTTCCGATCTAGCTTTTGTCTAATGTTGTTAACACTTAGGACTTAGGCTAACATCTACCTTTACTTTTACCTAATTATAAAATATCTGCCGATCTAACATGTCAAATTATATTAGCATTGACCATCTAAATTTTTCTGATTACAATTACTGACCACTTAGCTAGAGCCAAATAATGTTAATACTGACCATCTAGTTTTTGTCTAATGATATTAGCACGTTGTAATTTCCTGTCATGTTCTTGCTTGACTATTTCATTGTCAGCATTCTCTCCACCAACCATCTGCTGCTGTAAGGCCAGAAGTCTAAAAAAGTGGATTGGAAATTTTATTTTCAAAATTATATTTGAAAGCCATATGTAAAAAATAGACAAATAATTAAAAAAAAGTATTTACAATACAAAAAAGAGTTACAATATAGTTGCAATTGATTTTACATGAATGTAAGTAATTTTCTAATTCTTTTATTTGAGTTATTAAATTCTTTGGGATAAAATTCAACATTTTCTTTTTTGAGTTATTAAATTCTCGAAGTTAAAATTCAAGTTTAAAAAAAAAAAAAATAGAAAAAATCTATGCTTAAAAAAATTTAACAGCTTCAATATAAGAATTAAATTTTTATTTAGAAATTTTTATAAGTTTATAAAAAAACAGAAAAAAACGGACAAATATAACTATTAAGAAAAATAATGTCAACATAGTATTGTAGTTAATCTTCAAAAAACTGATTAATTCAATAAATACTTTTAAGAAAGAAGTTTTTGATTTTGTTAATGACAGTTTTTTTTTGTTTGCTTAATCTGATAAATATTTTATGATTTTTAATATGGATTACATTATGGATGAGTTGTCTACGGAAAAGTAATTTGTTATCTGCTTATTACCTGGCCAAAGCCTCCTTTTGTTTCATTTCCATGTCAACTTCCTGCACAGGGGAGGAGTTTGGTCGAGAGATACCTTCATCGTCAATCTGACGTCTTTGTAATGTCTGCTGTTGTTGCTGTTTGATGCGCTGAAGCTGTTCCTGCTGCTCCTTGAACAGTGATTCAGGAACAACAACTTTGCCCCCCACCCCTGGCACTTCCTGAAGAAAGGGAGTTAAAACGTGTTACATTGAATTCTGCTAAGATTTCTTTTGTAAAACTAAAATTTGGTATAGATCTATATAGAATAAAAAAAAAAAAAACCAAGAACAAACACACAATAACTGCACTTTTGAAAATAAACTCAACTAATAAAAAAAGTCATATAACTAGCAATAGTCATTTACCATAGAATTATTTTTAGCAACGTAACAAAAAAAAAGCATACATTTTGCGCATATTAAATCTTAGTGTAAATAAAGAATAACCAAGATTCAGAGCAAACTACTTAATTATATACCAGTTTTTCAAACAAGCAATTAACCATACATAAATTTAAAAGATACTCAGTAGCTTATGTTTTTAAACAGTAAAAAAATAATCTTAATCAGACTGGAATCCATGTTATAGAATGCTTATGCACACATTAAATAACATTGTTACCATAATTTAAATCTATTTTAACAGTTTTAGATTTAGCAATAGTTGTGAAGCTTTAAAGAAAATCAATTTTGTCAACCCAAATTTTAAAAAAAGTAATATTTTAAAAACAAATTAAATTAAGCAAATGAAAAACATTAATTCAAAATAAAATCCAACACCATTTCTACCTCCACTTTCATTTCTTCTACCTATCAAAGTAAAAATGTCTAATATTATGCAAATCAGTATGAAAAAAACTACATGACACTTATAAATGATTATGCTAAAAAAAAAGTAAGATTTTTTTTATAGTGCTTAAGAAAATAAAATTAGGTAATATTAAATGACTGTATTTTTATCAGAAATTTAAAGTACAATTTCAAACATTAAATGATCACAACGTATTTTTAAAAATTGAGTTTTTTTGTATTTTTTTTATTCAAGTTCAAGAATGAATCACTACAATTAATTACAACTGGAAAATGTAAAAAAAAACTAAGTGGAATATTATTTTTAAATTTATAACAATCAATTGCTAAATAATAACAAAAACCCCAGCAAACACTTAGCACTTAAGCAGCAAATTAACTGTTCATGGTAAAAAATTTTTTCGTTCAAACAGTCCATACCAGGCTTATTTCTTCAATCTGTCACACAAAAGACTGAAATTACTATTGGTACAGAGGTTTTTAAAAAATGTTTTATTCAAAAACATTTTATGCTCTGTGAGCTTAGAAATTTTGTACTGAATCATTTCTAGCTGATGAAGTTTCAATCAATAAAATGTTTTGATAGTAGATGAGTACTAAATAGTAGCTTTGAAAATTACGTAGCTAAACAGTAATTGCAATGTAATTTTTTTAATATTCCTAATAATAAAAACATATTAATTTGTATTCAAAGTGTAATGCTTTTGAAATTAATATCCATGAGAAAACTGTTCAAAATGCAAAACAACAACAAAAAACAACCAACCAAATCCCACATTTTAAAAAAAGCAAATTAACACAAAAAAAAAAACAAAAAACAGTTGAAACAATTAAAGAATTTTGTGCAATAAATTAGCTGAAACATCTTTGAATCTTACCTCTTCATTGTCTTCAACCTTTCATTAAATGGAATTTCAATAAACTTAAAATTTATAAAAATTTCATTAATCGAACAGTTAAATTATTCCCTAATTATCATATGTGGTTTTGTAAAAAGTTTATTAGCCAACAAAAATTAAAATAAAATTCAGTAAAGAAAAGATGGTTTTTGCACATCTAGTAACAAGACATTGTTAAGGATGATGATGATGTAGGCCTACTTATTAATGTATTTCTGTTAAGGAATACATTTATTAAAGCTTTAAAAGCAAATTAAAAAGTAGGCCTATTTCATCAAATGATATTATTTTTTTTTCCTGATGTATTTTTTAGAAACTTATTTTGCACACATTCTAGTTTTAGAAAACAAAATCCTATTATTTAAGAAAAAAAAAAAAGAAAACAGAGAGTTAAATTTAAAGAAAGGTAACATAAATTTTAGAAACAATATTCACCTTTTCAATTCTTGGCAACCCATCAGGGCCAAGTATAATTGGTTTTCCTATATCAGATACATCTGTTAACAAGTAAATCTCTAATTATAATATATTGAACAAACATTTGTATCATCACTAAAAGACATTAATTGTCACTTTTTAAATTTAAGATATTAAAAACATCAGAATCATGATTTAGAGAAATTACATGTTAAGTTTAAGCATTATCTGTTTAATAATAGTATAACTGTCATCTTAATAAATGTAATGCTTTGTGATTGATGATTTGTGACATTTTTATGAAAAAAAGTAAAGTATTACCAGGTCCAATTATCAATAACTCATCATTAGTTGTGGATGAAGGTCGTGTGGTAGAATCAATAATTTTCTTTTTCTGTTTCTTCTCTTGCTCTATTGATTGTAAAGATAAAATAAGGATGAGTCAATATTTAAGTTTTTATAATTTAGATTGACAGTTACTTTATGATTATTTATAGTACAAAATATTAAAGCTATTTGGAAATTTAAAATGTTTAACAAGATTAAAAAATTTGAAATCAGCATATAAAATATGTAGTATGCTTGTAATAGGAAGTCAATTCATTATTGTAAAAAAAAGCAAACTGATTAATATTAAATTATTAGTTGTTATGAAAATAATCAAAATATATAATTTTAATGTGTTTGTATAACAACTCAAGATATGGTTTAAGGGTGATTTTCTTATTTGGGTTTGTGTTTCTTATATGTATCCAGTGTTATAGCTCTATAGAAAGTATTACAAAACTTTAAAAACAGGCCATTTAGATAAGAAGTTATCATAGGACATGTTGTTATCTAAGTGATAAAATACATAAACAAAATCTACAAAAATAGCCACTTAAACATGTCATTTTTATTCTTGCTTAGTCATTGAGCTGATAATGGAAAAAAAAATTTTGTTTAATCAAAGCCATCTCAACAAACCTTCTTAATTATTTAAATGTAAAATAAATTAGAACAATACATGTTTCATCAGTTTTGGTTAGGTTTTAGAAAGTTTTTTTAAATAATGTACCTAAAATATTTCATTATTTATTAAAGTTATCTTTATTTCCAATACTAGAAGAAATGAATAGTAATAAAAGACAGTCTAACATGTTATAAGCAAATACTTGCATAGAAATATACAAAACTGAATAAGAAGTTATAATCTACATATTGAAAATTATGTTTGACAGTTATAGAAATATTGGGTTACTTGATTTTAAGGTCAATAAAGATTTAAAGTAAGTGCCAGATATACTAACATGTTTGAAAATTTAAATAAAAGAAAATTTAAAGTTTTATAATAATAACATTGTGAAAGTGTTTCAGGCTGTGATGCTATTTAAGAGAAATAAAAACAAATATTAATCAAAACATACTCCAAGTGAGCTAAACATAAAAAAACAGACCAAAGGAAAAAACTATGAGCATGTCAAAATGATAATAATTCAAAATACAACAATATTTAAAACTGTGAATTTTTAAAAAATTGACATAAATAAACCTACATTCTATACACCAACACACAACTTTGACACAAGTAAAGAATAATGAGAACTACTATTTTAAGTGTTCTAAACCATAAATGTTTTAGAAATTAAAAACAAATTATTTATTCCCAAACATGTTTGAAACAAAAAAACTTTTTATTGTGATAATATAAATCAATGATTGTTTCAGTTTTAAGTTATGGTAGTGAAAGTTTTACAATCAGCTATATAGCAGGTTTTGTAGTACTTAAGGAAAAAGACACATGAAGCATTCCACAAATGGAACATTAAAGTCTTGAAGAATTTGTAAGCCAATAGTTTTACTCATAAACTCACCATGAAATAAATATTAAACAAACTTCAATGAATGATTGACAATTAATTAAAAGAAAAGAACGGTTCCCAGAAAGAACCGCAACGGAAAAAAGCGCAACGGAAAAAAGCGCAAATCAAAAAGCGCAACGGAAATAAGCGCACACGGAAAAAAGCGCAAAGAGAAAATAGCGCACACAGAAAAAAGCGCAAAGAGAAAAAAGTGCAAACGGAAAAAAGCGCAAAGAGAAAAAAGCGCACACAGAAAAAAGCGCAAACAGAAAAAAGCGCAAACGGAAAAAAGCGCAAAGAGAAAAAAGCGCACACGGAAAAAAGCGCAAAGAGAAAAAAGCGCAAACGGAAAAAAGCGCAAAGAGAAAAAAGCGCACACAGAAAAAAGCGCAAACAGAAAAAAGCGCAAACGGAAAAAAGCGCAAAGAGAAAAAAGCGCAAACGGAAAAAAGCGCAAACAGAAAAAAGCGCACACGGAAAAAAGCGCAAACGGAAAAAAGCGCAAACGGAAAAAAGCGCAAACAGAAAAAAGCGCAAACGGAAAAAAGCGCAAACAGAAAAAAGCGCACACAGAAAAAAGCGCAAACAGAAAAAAGCGCAAACGGAAAAAAGCGCAAACAGAAAAAAGCGCACACAGAAAAAAGCGCAAACGGAAAAAAGCGCAAACAGAAACAGAAAAATGCGCAACCGGAAAAAACACAACGAAAAATGTGCAAAAGAGAAATTTAGCACAAAGACCATATGGACTAGATGACACATTTATACATGACTGTTAAGGCTGCTGTGAGAGTGTCGTGTTTGATCACGTGATCTACTACCATTTAAAGCGTACCACTAACATCTGCATTCCCATCACCACGATACAGGCGATAATCACTTTACACAATGCCTATTATTTTCTTGGTCAATAATTATTCAACTACTATTCTCGTATAAACATAAAACTATCGACATTACACGAAGTATCTTTCACATTCTCCCTAGTCCGAACTACCTAGCTTGCATACTATAACAACCCGTTCCTATGGCAAAACTTCACTCTCTTTCATCCGCGTCATCAAACATGCATTCGTCATATCTCTCGTAACAACATTCATTCGCACCAAAATAACAATTTTGTATTTAATATTTTTTCACATCATGACGCACCTACCTACCTACCCTTTACTACCCACCTACCCACTTACCCACCTACCCACCTACCCGCCTACATACTTACCAAACTACCCACCAAAAAAGTATCGGCGAAGTTCGTAAACTGTACTAGACATCATTTTTTTAATGAAAATTCATTGACATCATTGACATATGTTACATATATGTTACATTTTGCGACAACCTTAATTAGTGCGTTGGGCTTGTATGAAAACTCACTTCGAACTAACTCAATTACATGCTATTTATTTTAACATTACACGGTAAGCGTCACCCAACTGTTGTGATGTGAGGTGAGGACAGGTTCGACAATAAACCAACACGAAAGTACGAATGAGACATAGATTGCCTATTAGAGAATGGACCCCTTAACTTTCCTAACCCCACCATTTATTATACCCTACCTAACCTCTAAATTTCCTGCACTAAATGTCACTTCCCTCCCAATCGTTCCTATTCTACAGAATTGTGTACTATTTATTTACATTCTTTTATCTCAATATAACTAAAATAGACTTTTGTTTGAAGGATAATGAAAACATGTAAACAAAAGGGACGCTACTCTAAATCTATGCGAATACTTATATGCAGTGGCGTAGGCAGGGGGGGGTTTATGGGGGGTCATAACCCCCCCATAGACCCCTCGGTATATATATATATATATATATATATATATATATATATATATATATATATATATATATATATATATATATATATATATATATATATATATATATATATATATATATATATATATATATATATATATATATATATATATAAAGTATGAGGGGGGTGGATATCAAAGTTTAAGGGGGGTACAATCGAATGTTTGAGGGGGGAAAACGTCTGGAAGAAACACTGCATGTAGCCTGATGTTATTATAAAACTTCATCTCTCTTTGTTTCTTTATAAAAAGGTTACGGAAGGTTTTTAATGTATTTTACTGAAATGTGAAAAAATATTAAATACAAAATTGTTATTTTGGTGCGAATGAATGTTGTTACGAGAGATATGACGAATGCATGTTTGATGACGCGGATGAAAGAGAGTGAAGTTTTGCCATAGGAACGGGTTGTTATAGTATGCAAGCTAGGTAGTTCGGACTAGGGAGAATGTGAAAGATACTTCGTGTAATGTCGATAGTTTTATGTTTATACGAGAATAGTAGTTGAATAATTATTGACCAAGAAAATAATAGACATTGTGTAAAGTGATTATCGCCTGTATCGTGGTGATGGGAATGCAGATGTTAGTGGTACGCTTTAAATGGTAGTAGATCACGTGATCAAACACGACACTCTCACAGCAGCCTTAACAGTCATGTATAAATGTGTCATCTAGTCCATATGGTCTTTGTGCTAAATTTCTCTTTTGCACATTTTTCGTTGTGTTTTTTCTGGTTGCGCATTTTTCTGTTTCTGTTTGCGCTTTTTTCCGTTTGCGCTTTTTTCTGTGTGCGCTTTTTTCTGTTTGCGCTTTTTTCCGTTTGCGCTTTTTTCTGTTTGCGCTTTTTTCTGTGTGCGCTTTTTTCTGTTTGCGCTTTTTTCCGTTTGCGCTTTTTTCCGTTTGCGCTTTTTTCCGTTTGCGCTTTTTTCCGTTTGCGCTTTTTTCCGTGTGCGCTTTTTTCTGTTTGCGCTTTTTTCCGTTTGCGCTTTTTTCTCTTTGCGCTTTTTTCCGTTTGCGCTTTTTTCTGTTTGCGCTTTTTTCTGTGTGCGCTTTTTTCTCTTTGCGCTTTTTTCCGTTTGCGCTTTTTTCTCTTTGCGCTTTTTTCCGTGTGCGTTTTTTTCTCTTTGCGCTTTTTTCCGTTTGCGCTTTTTTCTGTTTGCGCTTTTTTCTGTGTGCGCTTTTTTCTCTTTGCGCTTTTTTCCGTTTGCGCTTTTTTCTCTTTGCGCTTTTTTCTGTGTGCGCTTTTTTCTCTTTGCGCTTTTTTCCGTGTGCGCTTATTTCCGTTGCGCTTTTTGATTTGTGCTTTTTTCCGTTGCGCTTTTTTCCGTTGCGGTTCTTTCCGGCCACCGAAAAGAACATATTCTTTAAAAATATTTTCATTTATATGTTAAGGAGCAATGATAATTAAATTTAATTACAAAAAGTTTTAAATATTTAGTAACTTAAAAATATTTTGATATACTTTTTAGTTATTTTAGCAGAAGAACAGCTTTTACAATTTAAAACTATCTTATAATTTACATTTATAACAAAAAACAGATGTGTTTATGTTAATGCATAAAATAATTCCCAATGCACAAAGCAAAAATGACGATGAGAATTTTGCTAAATATTTAAACATGCAAAAGTAATAGAAACATCAAAAACAGACAAGAAAAAAAGTAATTGTAATTTAGAGGTTATTGTAGTTATATTTTGAAAAAATATATAAAAAGTTAATATCAATATGATGAGAAAATAAGTTTATAATCAGTTAAGGCCCTGTATACAATTTTTAGGAAACAAATGTAATAGTATTGATGTGTACAAATCATGTGTTAAAAGAATACTGAATACTGTGAAAAGATACTGAAAAAAAAATGCAAAATTTAATGTGCTTAATTGATTTAGTATGTTTTTTCTTGTTATTCTAAGAGAATTTTTAAATAAAAAAGATTTTCCATCATCTAAATACATTATGTTGTTTATGTTAAGAAATCATATTTGATTAAAGATTGTACTTAAATTTCAAAATAACTGAATCAAAATAATAGTAATACGGCTACTTAAAATAAAAATAAAAAAATTTAATTTAAAAAATTAAATGGGGGAGACATCAACTCTTTAAGACCGGAACCACACTCCCAGCATTCGATGCATTGACCTGCAGTACTGCAAAGATGCTCTCAGTTGTCAATATTAAAAAAAAATTACTCAGTTGTTTACTCAATTACTCAATTATTTTTAATTGTGTCAACTTCTTTTAGTTTTTTGGCACTACTGATTTAACATTTTTATAACTTTTAAATACCCACTTGCAAAACATTTTTATATTACACTGCATTACTCCATTCATATGCCACTTCTAAATAATTACAGTTTTTTGCAATAACACTAATCTTATTGAAAACTATCTGAAAGATGGAGATTCTTTGGCTTTCTGTGAATGAAAACTAATTTAAAATGGGTTTTATGAGGAGGAGTGAATTTTTTTCCATGTTTTATTATTTTTTCTTGTTTAAAACTAAGTACATAGCTTCTTCAATAAATAAGTAATTATTTAGATAGAACATGAAAACGATTCTGATGATAAAGAGCTAAGGTAATGAAGAGTTAATGGTTTTAAATTTCAATTAACATAGACCTAAAGTTAAAATTGTATTAGTTCTCATCAGATTTAAAGACTTTTTTGTTTAATCACATATTTTTCTTCACACATTACTAAGTTTGTTCTCTTTCTTTATTTGTTCCCTACCTATATATGTCCCATTTTTATATTTGTTCCATGTCTATGTTTGTAGTTGAAGACTTAATTACAACAGCACTTCACAGCAACAGATGTTACATTAATTACAGGTGCTATTATTTTAAATAAATAATACATTGTAAATGTTAAGTTTTATAAAAAAAATAGATTGAAGAATTAGTGTCTTGGTAACTGTTGCTTCATCAGCTGCAGACCAAAAGAGTAAAGAGAAAAAAAAAAGTAGAAAACAAAAACAACCAAAAACCAACTATTCAAGCAAGGACTTACTCATTTCACCACTCTTTGCCTCTGCCTCCTCATCAAATTCTTCCTCGCCCAGTACTAATATAAGTAAGGGGATGAACAGGTCATGATTAGATATACACATATTACTATACTAAGCATGACACATCTTCAGGCTTTTCTTAAAAACTTATCTCAAACAATAAACAAGATTAAATTACAAATGAGGAGAACTGCATTAAAGATAATATATGTTTTTACTATATCTAAAAGATTGTGAAGATATTTTGCAAAGAGTCAAACAATAAATAAATGATATCTGAAATGTGAAAAAGAAATTGGCATGTGCATTTCTAGCCTAATCTAAAATGGCACGAGGTTAAATTTTATAAATCTATAAAGACTACGGCAATAAATTATTCAAAATGTGTTATCAATGTGGTGGAAAAGGTTGAAAATACTCAATTTAAATGTAGAAAATAATGCTTAATTTGAAATGTGTGAAAAAAATATTTAAAAGAGTTTTATTTACAATAAAAATTACCCACAGTGAGATGTTTAATAAATATGGCAACAATAAACAGTCTAATGATATAAACATATAACAAGATACCTTTTACATAAATAAGTTACAATGCCACTGTAAGCATATAACAAATTGCTGTAAGTCTTTACTAGAACAAAACAAAAATAAAGAATATACTCAGGGAAATACATTGCTTTAGTATTCATGCTGAGAAATAATTGCATTAAAGATTTCCTCTCACCTTGCGCTGTGGAGGGCAAGCCAGCTAACTGACCATCAACACTCTTCATTTTGCTATCATAGAAAGCCCTCAGTTTGTCCATATCCTGCTGAAGCTTTACTTTGTTGCTCTTTTCTTCCTCAAATGCTGCCTTCATTTGAGCCATTTTAGCTTCATATTCCTTCAGGTGAAAACGAACAAACATTTGAAATGATTTTTCACTTACATACTCACATACAACAATAGGCATAGCCTTCTGCTAACACAGCTAGTGTTATTTATTGTTATCATTTTAAAAAACATTTTTATTATTTTAATTTTGATGATGATTTGATGTTGTTTTATAAAGAAATCTTTAGAGGATACATCAATTATTTCATTTCCATTTATTATACTTCATTTTCTGATTTAAAAAACCCAATACACATAGAAACCCATTGTAGATTGTGAGACAATTAAAATTTCAAATTTTCACTAATCGAATATATTGTACTAGTAGTTTATTTGATCTATGAGAAAGCTATGGCAGAAGTAAATGTAAAAAAATGAACTGGGTAAGACAGATTTTTTATCTACAAAAAGAAACATTACTACATTATTCCTAACTTATATAAGCTAATAGGTTTAGATAAGACCAGAAATTACTTTGTCATTTCTCCTAATTTGTAATAACAGATTAAAGTCATGTAAATTCTGTCTAACCTGTTTTATTCTCTCTTTTTCTCCCTCTAATTCATCTCTAACTGTGGCAGCATCTTGCTTGCTTTCCTTTTGAGCAGTAGCAGGGGCTAAATGGAAATTTTACCAAACATTATTTGTTCCAGTTACTTTTTCTCATATTCTGTAAACTTTTCATTTACCTTTTTTACTAAAAAAAATAAAGACATAGAAGTTTAAGTAAATTATTTTGTAATATATTGCAGCAGATTAGCCCACATTTTTAGATTAAAAATAAATAATTTATTTTTATAAAACTAATCCCAAAATGTTGGGCAGTGAATATGTAGTCTTTATTACTTATCTTTTATTTTTAACTTAATTATTATTATTTTAATAGTTTTTTTATTGTTTTTGCTATCAAGTACAATCATATTTAACGTCTTCGTATAGTCTTGTTTAAAATGTATCCCCTAGATTATCTAAGAACCTGACTTTATCTACGCTAAAATAATTTTACCTAATTCAACAGGTATTTGACCTGCCAGCATAGCTTTAAGTTTCTCAATCTCCTCTTGGTACTGCCTTAGCAAAGCATCCTTAGGATCTTCATTAATCTTTGGCTTGTTCTTGATGTTCTTGGCCCTGTTGGCATAACGAAGAGTGGACAGTGACTCCTCGTAGTTGTTGTCAGCTGGGGACAGGCAGGCTACCATCATGGTTTTAGTGTTACCTCCCAGTGAGTCCTGATTGTAGTCAAAATTAAAATACATTTAAAAGAAAAATCAGCTGAGATCACTCAAAAAGATAACACAATATATGCATCTATGTGTATATATAAAGATTTATATGTGTATATATACATATATACACAAACACATATATATATTTAGGGACGGAGTGTCTGAGCGGTAGAGAGCTGGACTGCTAACCCGTTAGTCACGAGTTCGAATCCGGGTTCAATTTAGTAGACCGTCCTCAGCTCTGATAGGTACCTAACTCATATTAGGATAAGTAAAGGCGGCTGGCATAGTGCTGACCACATTGTCCCTTTATTAGCAGTTTAAAAATAACACAATTTTTAATAAAGTGATCTATAATGTGACAGTTGTCTAACTTACTTTTACTAAAGTTATCTAACCTGTAAAGCTATTTATAAATATTTTTGTACAAGAACCAAATGCACAACTGGTAAGTTATAATTACCTGCAATAGCCTTGTAAGCTTGGAGTCTCTGTATGGTATATGCTTAGACTTGCCATCAACAAGTGCAGAAATAACATTTCCCAGTGCAGATAAAGACAGATTAATTTTTGTTGCTTCTTTAAGCCTATCTCCAGTGGCACCTAATTAAGTATAATTCAAAAACATGGAAAATTATTGGCTTCTTTTTACAATTCTAATATAAAGTATGTATTTGCTGGTATGACTACAATGGCTTGGCACTAGCCATAATCATAATGCATTGATTTTTAATAAAGATAAAAAAAACAACTCTTTACCTGTTTTTCCTTGTCTTTCGCTACCAGCAAGATCAACTAAATTAAGTTTCCCAGCTCGAATGTGATCCTCCCCCTCCTCATCTTGTGTGATCATCTCCATGTTGATAGAGAATATGGAGTGGCTGCGAGACGAGTCAGCATTCATTAGAGTTGCCCCTGTGCTGCGGTTTTGCCAACCCCGATTCATGATGCGCTCACACTCTGCTACATTGTGGACAGGATGCATGGATAGACCTGGCAGAACACACATAGATTAGGCAAGCCTCATTATACCATGAATTGATGCACTGATCAAGATACTGATCAAATTATAATTAATAATATCTATATAGACCTAGCAGAACATATAGATAAGACATGCTTCATTGTGCCATGAGTTGATGCACTGATCAAGTCATTGATCAAATTATTTTTAAATAACATCTATACAGACCTAGTAGAACACACATAAGAATAAAAGGCAAAAAAAATTGAGTTTGAAATAAAAGTTAATAAAGAGCCTTCTTTAAGACAGATTTTTTTTCCAGTTAGGTACAGCACATAGAGTAGAGCTAACTGCATTTAACAAATTGAACATGTTTTCTTGTTCTTGAATTCTAACTATTTTTGTATCAAAATATGAACTGGTTCACATGTTTTGTTAGGCTACTAATTATTTCAGTGAAATAAGAAACTTAGTAAAAGTAGATTGGACTTACAAATATGTAATTTTTCTTATACAAAAAGAGCAGAAAACACTATTCCGTTATAATTACTAAGTTTAAAATTGTCAATAAATAATGCATGTGAAGGGTTAGTCAAATGTATTTACCATTAACATAAACCCCCTTTTCAGGATGCTCTTTGAGCTCAAGCTTAGCTTTTACATCTTTCCCTAGAAGGTCTCTTATCTCTTCATTATAAATCTCAAGATATGAAGCATGTATAAGAAATTTGACTCCTTGCTTTATACTGATGGATTCAAAAATATGTGCAAATGCTCTGAAACAAAAAATTAAAAAAAAATTAAAAAAAAAAAAAATTAAAAAAAAAAAAAAATTGTTTTTAGTAATTGCAGATTTCAAGTAAAAAAAAAGAAAATTAATAAAATACTTAGAGTTATAAAAAAAAAACATCCCTTATTTGTTATTAAGGGAATTACTAAAATGCTTTTAAAATCTAACTAGTATAAGACAAGCATGATTTATATCAAAACATACCTTGGGATTATGCCTTTCTGTGTTGGTGGGTCTGTAATTCCTTGCATAGAGAAACTTTTGCCACAGCCGGTTTGACCATAAGCAAATATTGTTCCATTGTAGCCTTCAATGACACCCTATAAAAACAAAATAAGAAAAATAAACTTTGCACAACCAATTTTAAATATCAAACTTACTAAAGTAAAGTTCCCTTTTGGAGCCAGATGGTCCATGGGACAAGTAAAGTAGAGTTCACCTGTTTCTGTGACCTCAGCAATTGAAGGAATAGTGTGGTCAGCACTATGCCCAGCCATTTTACTTTGCCTAATGTGAGTTAGGTACCCACCAGAGTTGGTTGGACTCAGAGACTAAAACCTTCTAGTGAAACCCAGTCCATCAACCAGACTACAAAGTTTCATCAAAGAAGCAAAGAATCTAAAAAAGAAATATGAAATCGAAAATATCATTCCTGAAGCAATAAAAACTCAAAACCTCTCTCCGCCTTGGATCTCCCACTGTCATTTAACCATTTTTGACTCAATAGACACCATAGAAAAAAAATCTGACTATGATCTAAAAGAACTAAAGAAAATAACAAATAAACACATTAAGGATCAGTACCCCAGCAACACCAGGATTAGAGTTTTCACAGATGGCTCAGCTGAAGATGCCACAAAAAATGGCGGGGCTGGCGTCCTTATTGAATGGCCAAGCGGAGAAAGCCTGGAAAAGGCAATAGCCACAGGCAGCCTATCCGACAATTTTAGGGCAGAAAAAGAAGCTATTGAGCATGCAGCAAACCTCCTGTCAGAACACCCTGAATCACCGAATAGTCAGATTGTATTTCTTACAGATGCCAAAATCAGTCCTGCAATCCCTAAAAAATCCAGAGTCCTATATTCAAACACTTATGACAGCACTAGAGAGGCTAATAAATACCTGCAGCAGAATTGTGCTGCAGTGGATCCTGGGCCACTGCCAGATCCAGGGTAACGAGATCGCAGACCAGCTGGCAAAAATTGGGGGAAAGAAACCACAACCGGAAATTTCGCTACACCCAAAAGAAATAAAAAGAATAATAAAAAACAAACAAACGCAAATGTGGTCTGTCACACACCCTCACTACAATAAAGATGACGGCTATTATAATCTGACACAAAAACAACAATACATAATCTTTCGACTTAGAACAGGCCACAACAGACTAAATCAACACATGCACAGAAAACTGAAGGTTGGGTGTGGCGAAATGTGCCCTTGTGGCAAGGCCCCGGAAAATACGGAGCACGTACTTTAGGAATGTACTTTGTATAGCCAGGCACGAGTCAGACACTGGCCTCTGCCCACCCCACTCAGGGAAAAATTATATGGGGCACCTGCCAAACTGGAGACCACAGTCCGGTTTGTCCACGAAGTTGGACTTGTTGTCTGAATCCTCCACCATATTCACAATTAAGAAAGAAGAAGAAGAAGAAAGAAGAGTAGTGAAACCATATTGATTTTCTATCAATTTAAAAGTATGATTACATCTTTTCTTCTATTTTTATGATCTTCTTACCTCTACAAGAGGATATGCAATATCCCCATATATTTGTTCTGTTGTGGAATCTGTACCATATGCCCCATCAAAAGTGAACATTTTTGGTGGTGCCTTAGAATCTACTGAATTGATGATGCTGCACTGCCCTTTGGGAGTGTCCATGGTAATGACACAGTGGCAGTTGAGCCCTAACTCCCTCTGATTCATAGGTCGACACCTCACAATAACCTTCACACATTCTGCCATTTTGCTTTTAACTTAGCGATGGTTAACACTCTGTAGAGCAACATTCACATTTGTTATAAATCTAGCTATATTTAACAGAGATTTCTGGTTTACTGTTTAAGTATACAAGTTTACTTAAATCTGCACATTTCAAAATAAGGTAGTTTTTGCATAGGTAATTGAAACAAAAAGAAAATTTAAAAAATCATAACAAAAAAAAGATAGTTAAAAATATATAACATTGGTCAGCTGCTGGGTGTAAACTATAAGCTGTTAGTTTTCCATAACTTTCTCCAATCACTATATGATTTACATGATTTGTAGTAGTTGAATGATCTCAGAACCCCTTATACTTTGAGCCTAAAATGTATAGTTGACAAGAAATGGTTGTACATAATAATCCTAACTAATTAAAATAATAATGTGAAGTTTGTAAGACCAACTGAGAAGTAAATCCCTAAATATAATTTTCAGCCCAATTGATTTTATTTTTAAAAACTGCTTCTATCTTTATTATTTTTTTATTGATGTAATTTTGACACAGTGATATTCAAACTTTTTTTCATCATCAAAAAATCATAGGCCCTAATGAAAAATAGTTAAAAAATAATGCAAAAATAATTAAAAGAGTAGGCCTAAATACATAGTAAATATTACTAAATAACTTGTCTGAAATTAAAAAAAGGCATGATCAGTTTAAAAAAAAACAAAAAAAAAAAACAGGTCCTCCAGAATGTGAATAGCTGCTGACCTACAGTAACATTTAGTTAGAAGTAGGTCAATATAGATATATATTAAGTTAAACTAATTTAAATTTACTAAAAGCTTCGTTTGATAACAAGTTGGCGCCGTTGCCATGTGTAAACAAACAGAAAAAAATATAAATTCTGACATGAAATTCACTTTCTAATTCATGCCTAAATATTACTAGATCTAGATCTATATACATTACATATAATTGTGATTCCTAAAGTTAACGTTACCAATGAAAAATGTTTAACTTCCTATTACTAAAAAAATTACACTATTTTTCAGCTAATAAAATTGTCTTTCAAAAAATTGATTTTTTTAATGCCAGCAAGTAAACTTAGGATTCCGGAAGTTTATATTACGCCGGATGCAACGCCAAAGTAGCATTCATGTTCATGGGATTAATAATTTTCGCAAAATACTTTAGACATACATTTTTTAATTTAAATAATTGCTTACTTTATTAACTTGCAAAAACAAAACATACAACCTAATTATAAGCAAAAACATCTAAATGTATTTTACGTATATTATAATGCTAAAGAGTTTGTTGTAACTGGATATATATTAGATCTAGTAGATCTATATAAACATAAAATTAGCCTCATAAAAAAATCACGTGATTAAAGTCATGTGACACCTTTGTTTATAATTGTACCGAAAATTAGCCGCAGTTCATTTCTTAACGTAAAGGACTTGGGTGTTATATATTTATTGTAATGAGATAACTTAGTCTTCGTGTACCAAAGTACATTTTTAACAATGTTAGGAACAAATAGATCTAGTTCGCACAAACTTTCAATGGTCTCATGCCCTGTATGTTCCGCCAAGTAAGTAATGTTTAATTATATAAATAATTAATAATTAATAATTAATGTTACTAGACTAGACTCTATGTCTGATTGACTAAGTATTAAGTAGGGATTTTGGTAAAAAAACACTAATCATCATATAAAAATAAAAATTACATATTCTTGTAGAGCTCAACTATATGAAAACAAAACAAAAAAGATTTTCTGTCTAGCTCAAATAGTTTTTTTTTAGCGAATTTTTTTGTGAGGGGTGTAATGCCCTTGCTTTTGCATTGGCCAATTGTGACAAGTCATGGTATACCTGAATAAATTGAGCATAGTTATTTTACTTGCAGTTGTATTTTGTTCATATTTGCAGAGTTGAGCTAGAATGATATATAGAACTTGTATATGCTGTTGAAATAAATAAAAATAATACAGAAGTATATTTTTGTGTTGGCTTCCTTCCATAACCCCAAAAAAACTGTGCTGCGCAAATATGAAAATGTTTCTAAAGCAATGTTTTACAGTGAATGAAAGAACTACAAAGTTAGCAATCTAAAGTAAATGACTTGAACACTGAAATGTGCATATAACTGCATATAACTGCCCCATTATTTTGGGCAGGTGAAGTAGAGTCCATCTTTAAGACATTTTGTTATAAAACTGTGCTGCGCAAATATGAAAAAGTTTCTAAAGCAATGCTTTATATAAATACAGTGAATGAAAGAACTACATAGTTAGCAATCTAAAGTAAATGACTTGAACACTGTAATGTGCATATAATTGCCTTATTATTTTGGGCAGGTGAAGTAGAGTCTATCTTTAAGCCATTTTGTTAAAAGTGAACTGAAGTTATCTGATCAATGTTTTTATGTGTGTATTTTGTATGAATTCTGATTTTCAGCATATAAATATAACTAAGTAAGGGTAAGTAGAACTTGAATACTTAAAATTACAGTTAGCACATAGCTAGTGTAGTGTATTCTAGCAACAGACAGGTAACCTATGTCTGACTCAGCAAAATTTTACTTCAAGCAAAACTAGAACCAGAGTTGAAAAAATGAAAGACAGGTAGATCTATATTAAAATATGTTTAAAACAACAAGTAGGAGATTTGTTTGTACATTACATAAGAATACTGTTGTTAGTGTATCAAAACTAAAAGCCGGCAGATCGGGATGAAGAAATATAACATTGGAGTCAATGGGGGCAACGTGACCTACTTACGGTGACTACTTTCAAATGAGTATTTACTAATGTCAAAGTCAAAATATCCAAAAATAAATATCATTTCTATAAAAATGGGATGTATCTGCTTTGGAAACTTTCATTATCTAAATGGAAACTTTTCAAAAATCGCGTTTTTAAAGCATTTGAAGTTAACCTTTATACCGCGGTAAGACCAAAGCAGAGACAGCATGCAATCAGATCGCTAAGCCATCAAAACAACTGGAAAACCATTCTACTTTTCATTTAACATTAGGAAATGACCTTTTAAACTTAATTAATTACCATAAATTAAAAACTTATTAGTATGCAAAACTAAATCTCGTGCGCCCGGTATCAGAAAGTAATGGGAGATTTCGGGTCATGTTTTTACCGCGATCTCGGCCGATACCGACAAGCCTAGTATTAAGTAAGTGGCTAGTAGTTCGGCATTCTAGGGTAATCTATCGTTTTAGGTACGTAAAATCGCCCGCGGCTAGTAATGTACGAAAAAGTTTCCTCATTGTCAAGGCTTTAATAGAAGTATATTCATATTGTGATATTTTTATTAGTGTCAAATATTATAATTATAGATAAATGAATAATAAACCTAAAATAATGGCTAAATATATCAATATAGGCAAGAAATTAACTTTAAACAGCAGTGTTTGTGAGCAGGATTTGCTATATAAAAAGCGGCCATCTGTAAGTTAGAGTGGCTTCCCCTGAATCTTGCGCTATAAGTTTACAATAAAAAATAAAATAAACAAGATGGCTGCTATAGTAAATGAGCATTGTTGCATCTGTTGTAAACATTGCTAGTCTTCATTTATTTCGGAAAAGTTTTAATTCAATTGTTTAAAAAAACAGGTAGGCTATATAAATGAAACAAGGAAACATTTTTTTATTTTTCAAAACATAAATACTCCTCAAAATGTGAAATAATTATTAAAATTTAAGGAGTCACCTGTTTTTCACATTGTTAGTCGCGGGCGATTTTACGTACCTAAAACGATAGATTACCGATTCTAGTAGTAGGTACTTTCATTAAAAAAATATTTGAAAATTATTTTTAATAATAGCTTTTTAATAGGCGTTTATTTATATTTAGGCCCTAAATTAAATAATAAATATATGAGTGACAAGATCAAAATGATGTGTTGGGGGCATCAGCAAAAAGCATGACATGGATCCCCCCCCCTCATTAAACACTTATTAAGTGACTTAACAACTATAGTTTAGAATAGTATAGGCATTTCTTTTTTGGAGCTTTGTTAATTTAATTCATTTTAATATGTTAATTGTTAATGTTATGGCTTGCTATGTTATTTAAAGTTTATACTTATTATTTGTTAATTATTATGATGAATTGGGCTATTGGTTTAATTAAAGTTCCAGATTTTTAAAATGCTTTACCCAAATCAAGTCAATATATCATTAAAAAAATTAAAAATTACTATTTCAGTCACCTCCCTATCAAAGGGTCGCTGAAAAATGGTGTGTATGCATGTACCTGTGAAAACTGTGGCCACTTCTTTAAATTCAAAGCAGTCCAGAATTTCAAGAGCACTGTCACTTTTACTATCAATGGAGTTAGCTACACAGGTTACTTTTAGTTTTTACAATCCTTTCAACCTTTTTATGTTAATAATACATCTTCAAATTACATGAAAATTATAACCTTAATATATAATATTTTTTAAAGAAAGTTCATCATAGGATACAATTTTATTTATTTTATGATCAGTAACAGTAGCTTTTGCTGTGGAAGAAAGGGGGACAATAATCTGACTATAAATAAAAATTCAAAAAGTTATTTTCAAACATCTTTGCTTGGATTGTGATTATTAAAATAATACAAGAGCTACATTGAGCTATCTTTATTCTTAGGTAACTAACCCACTCTGTATGTCAAAAAATATTTTTCAAATAAAAAAAATTGTTGTATGAAACATTAGACTACTTCCATGACTTATTATCCTCCTTTGTACAGCCAAAGGGCTGAAACACTTCATGCTTTAGTGAAACTACAGATGGGCATGAACTAATAAGGTATAATGAAACCTGATGGTCCATGTGGCAAATGAAGTAGAGTTTCTGTGACATATGAAGAGTTACTGTACAGTTACTTTAACAAATCATTCTTACAGAAGTAATTGTGATTCAGATTTTGATTTTTTATGTTATTTAGATAGTTTTTACTCGCAATGGATTTTTAAAAATTGCATAGTGTTTGATTTAACTCCCCTTCTCACTTAACTTATTAAACAAGCCACTAATCATTAAAAAAATATTAAATTCTCTTGTATAACAAGAAATACTGCAAACCCACTCTTTTGATACCAAGTTGAAAAACTAGATCATATTTATCTTAATTTATCAATTCATCTTTGCAAAATTGTTTTCTAGATCATCTACTTAAACTTAAACCAATCTTGACCTATTTTGATTGTAACCTTATTAATTTTTTTTTATCTTTAACGAATGAAGATCTAGATTGTGTTGACTGATTGATCACTCAAGTGTATAGACTTTGTGTTTCTGTTGTAATGATTTAAGTAGTTTATTGCTTGATTTTTCCCCACCCATCTTTCACATAACACAGACCAAAAATTTGTCATTAGAACAGATAGTAGACCTTCTGACCAATCAAGTTTCAGTAAACTCAGTAGTAATTTATGGGCTCTAATCTTTCTTTTTCTTCTTCTTTTTCTTCGTTCTTAATTTTTAGTGTTGGAAGCGATCGAACCTTATCTGCCAGAGGGCTTGAACTCGAGACTTTTTTCGAATTTATCAACCATGTGCTTTTTGCCAACTCGACCACACCTCCATCACAATTAAGGATACATGTTAACTGGTTAACGCCATCCATTGAGGCCATTGACTCTGATTTCCGCCTGCTTTTCTTTTTGGATTTGCTTCCATAGCCTTTGTCCAACCAAGAACAAACTACAATGCAGCAGTTGTTTGATTTTGGAGTTGTCTCTCCTAGAAGAGTGGCTGTCCCCAGCTAATGAGCCTCATCTATCAGAGGGTTCGAACTCAAGACTTTTCAACCATGAGCTTTACCGACTGGACCACGCAGACCCCCTCTAATCTTTCCAAACTGTGGTCTCTTTGTTTATCTAGCATAATCATAGTATTCATAGATAACAAAAGATGTGAAAAATATGCCTAAAAACTTTGGAGGCTGCTCATCGTTCACTTAGGCCCAGATAATATAATCTCTTTTCAGGGTTAGAAAACTAGGCCTTTTTATCATCAAAAATGATGCAGCAGTTTCTAATAAAACATGCTTTTACTAAATAGGCTGATTATATCAACATTACATTTAACTATTATTATTACACAATCATATATTTTGTTGGTAATCATAATTTTAAGTTATGACTCCCAAACAGAGTTTCTTCCAGGCATCTCTTCGGGGCAATTTTTTACCCCCCCCCCCCCAAACTTCAAGTGCTCTCTTTCTTCCCCCCCCCCCCTCCATCAGAGAAAAAAGTCTGGAAGAAACACTGCTGGAAATATCCACAGCTATTTTTTTCTAAGAGATGAGTTATGTAAATTTCAGTGTTTCTCTTCCATAAACTTTATAAAGTGACACACCTTCACAGCCTTTTGCTTGCTATGCATAGCTCTATCATCATTCAAATGAGCAATCTGACAAAAAGCAACACTTGTACAGTGGCATAGGCTGGAATTTATCAATTTCATGGGGGATTTTCAAATGTTTTCCCAATACTTGTACATAAATATAAATTGTTGTTTGAAATTGTTCACATAAAGCTACATGAGTGCATCATCGCTTATGTAAGAAGGAGTTCTAACCCTTCTTCCCTTGCCACTACACATATAGGCATACATGCTTATGTTTCATTAAAATCATTTAATTTTAAAGTACTTAATTATTAAATAAAAATAAATTAAATTGCAGATCTAAAATTTTTAAGCAACAAGCATATTCAGTTTCTATAGCTAACTATTTATTTAAATTCCTATTTTTTGTTTTTTTTGACAGTTGGAAATGAATATCACCCAGCAACTTCTTTAAATGAGTACATGCGCCATTCCGGCGCCTCTGTTGGCACCAAAGGCTGCTGCTATGAAGGGGGCTGTGGAGTTTGTCTTGTCACTGTCAAACTTTTTGAGCCTATTTCGGCTCAAAAAGTAGAGTATGCTGTAAACTCAGTAAGTATCTGGAGTTATATAATGTAAACACTAGTTGATTAAAAAGTAGAAACATGTTCTCTATAAAAAAAATTCTTTGAATATGATATTTAGCAACATATAAAATTGATACTTTCATGACTCCAAAAAAGCCACTACTTGACTCAAGTAGGCTAACAATTCTTTAGAGCAAACATTTTTAATAAGCGTTTTATGATTGTGGACATTCTAGCTAATTTAAAAGCTTTGAATTTGGTTCCTAGTTAAGTCTCTCATGCTTAACTGATTCCATTCCGCACTGGGTACCTATATTGAGTCTGGTACTTATTAGAGCTGGGTGGAAAATAGTCTATTAACTGGTCTCATGACTTTGATGTTAATAACCATACACTCATCTGCACAAACATGCTATAATAAACATTAACTTGACTTGATTTTATTCAACACAATTTCTTAAAAATGTAGTGCTGTCTCCAACTGTACACATGTGATGGTATGGAGATCACAACCATTGAAGGGCTGGGTAATACAAAAGATGGATTACACCCTATACAAGACAGAATGGTGAAACATGATGGGACTCAGTGTGGGTTTTGTACACCAGGACAGATCATGAATATGTATGGGTGAGTAACTCTTCTGTTTTTTTTTCATAGACCATTTAAAAATAAAATCAATGGAAAATTGTAGTAAAGAATTCTACAAGATAAAATGTTTGATTTTTGTTGTATTAAGTGTTTTATTTAGTTGTAAATTATTTTCTTTGAAAGCTTAAAAAATAACATTTGCCATAATGATATTTTATTAGCTTTAAATAATATAATATATTTTCTGTGGATTAATTACGCAAAACAGAGAAAACAACATTTATGTTCAGAAGAATAAATTAATTTAAATGAATAGTAAGATTGATCATGTTAAATACAATTTCTTTTATCCAAAGACTTTTAAAAAGATTTCCAACCCCTACTGTTCAACAAATTGAAGATGAATTTGATGCCACTCTTTGTCGATGCACAGGTTATTTTAATAAATTAAACTAATTATCTTATTGATATTTAAGCTACATTACACAAAATAAAAAAAAAATCAATGGTTTTACTTAGATTTTCATCTCAATTTCAGACTTTAGGGCAATTTTGGTAATTTTAATAAATCAACTAATTATCTTATTAGTATTCCAGCTACATTACACAAAATAAATCAAAAGCAATGGTTTTGCTTTCAAATTTCAGGCTACAGAGCAATTTTGGATGCTATGAAAACCTTTGCTGTTGATGCTCCTCCAGCCCTGAAAGGAAAGCTTATTGACATTGAGGTAACAAAAAAAAAAATTAAAGCCTATGCTGAAATGTACTAATCACACTTTTTTTAGTATCTATGCCCAATAGATAACCAGAAAATATCATAAGACATTTTTTCCCATTAAATATAGAATCTATTTATTTTTGTAACCCTTGCTGGAAAGCAGGTGCATACTTTTTTTGACACACATCCAACATTTTTGTTTTATTTACAATTCTATGCTTATGAGCCTCTGGTTTTTGCAGTAGACCAAAGTTCTATAAAATTAATTTTTTTACTGCTATTTACTTTTAGTTTTAAATGTCTATTTGAATTATTTTAATGAAAGGAATTGGATGGTAAAATTTGCAAAAAATCTGGCCAAGCCTGTACTGGACATTGTAACAAAAACAAAACAGGGAAAAATGGACACTGTGAAAACCAAATAGAGCGGCCAGTTCATATTGTGGGGGACGGCACTCAGTGGTTTAAACCTACCAGCCTGCAAGATTTGATACAACTTTTGAACCAACATCGTGCTGACAAGTATAGACTTGTCTTTGGCAACACGTCTTTTGGTGAGAACATTAAAACTTGGTTATATTTTCTCTCTTCTTTGCTCTTAATTGCAATATTTAGGAGGGGATTTCCTCCAACACTATTAAGCATTAAATTCAACATGTCATGGTGCATATGGTTTTTGACACCAACTTTAGCCTGCTTCTCTTTCTGGGTTTGTTTCAATAACCTTTGTTCTCCCAAGAACAATCTGGAAGGCAGCAGTTGTTTGGTTTTGGAGTTTCACTCCTAGGTGGCTTGTTTTCCCCAACTAATGAGCCTCATCTGTCTGTTTATTTCTAATATCTTAATTTAAAAAAAAAATTACTATTTTTAATAATAAGTTATATTATAGTAATATTAAACATATTTAAGAAAAATTACTTAATAAGCTAATGTATTTTTATGCTAAATTTGAATTAAAGAAATCTTGAAGATTGCTTTAACTGTTTATTAGGTCCAATTGAAATGTGTTGCTACTTAAAACAAGATTGCTAAATTAACTAACTGCTAGCATGGATGTTATTACTCATGTGTACTATATTTTTTTTCAATTTTGCATACATATTATTATTTATTGTGGAATATTATACTTCAAATAAAGGTGTCTATCAAGAATTTGGCCCTTGGAATTTCAATACACTTATTGACATCAGAGGTGTCCAGGAGCTGTATACAATTAAGGTTGATTGTTTTTTTTAATTTAAGATTTTGAGATTAATTTTACAATTAAAAAATTATTGTTTCGATTTTACTTAGGATTTTTAGGGTGTTTTAAACTGTTACAAATCATTTAGTTTAAATATTCCTAAATGTTCGTACAAAAATGTTCAATATTTCTGAGAATAATATTGTTAAATGTATTTTTTTTAAATTAGCAAGTTTTTTTTTATCAGATAAAGCTTGTTTTTAATGTTCATTTCAATTTTTTTATCTTAATGTTTTTTTTCTAATCAGAATGACACTAGTGTGACATTGGGTGCCAACTTATCAATAAGCAACTTAATTGAAGTTTTTGAGCAGTACAAAACACAAACTGACATACCATATGCTGCAACATTTGCAGAACATTTGCACTATGTGGCACAACATGGCATAAGAAATGTAAGTAGGATTTCTTCCTGTATAAGTAAAATGTAATCTAACATTGATAGTTTTTATTATCATAAATATCTTGTTTAAATTTGATATCTTTTATATATACTGATATAATTCATTTTGTCTATTAACATATGTAGTTTTGTTATATTTATAAGGGTTCTGTATACCTTTTAAATGAACTGATATAACTGATTCTCATCCATTAACTTATTTACCGTATAGTTATTATATTTGTAAGATTTATGTATACAACTTATTATTTTATAGGCCATTATATGTAATATTATATGGAAAATTATGAAAGGCTGCATAGACTTTGTTAATGGTATCCTGACAATGTCAGTTATAAACTTTTTACAAATTGTTGTTAATAACAATGTTATGCTTCATACAGATGAGTTCATGGGCTGGGAATCTTCTTCTCAAACTTGCTCACCCAGAATTTGCTTCGGACATCTTCACCATTCTCGAAACTGTTGGTGCAACTCTCCTGATTTGTAAGAACATTTTTATAACCAGTACACCTACAGTTAAGTTTCTTCAAGACTTTAATATTTAGATATTGTTAATCAGGAATTACCGTAACATTTTTTTCAATTATGAATTATTTGAAGATGATGGGGATGGAAGCTCCAGGCAGTACAGTCTGACTGAATTCTTAGGACTTGATATGAAGGGCAAGGTCATTGTATCTGCAACCCTCCCCAAATTCTCAACCAGTGTTAAGGTCCAGACATACAAGACCTCACATCGTTTACAGGTATTTGTTTCTGTTCTTTTCAAATTACTGTTTTTACAAATCTGTAGTGTTAGGAATAGATTACTTACTGTATTTAAATGTGTTTCACTTCTTTTTATGTTCTTATATACAGATTATAGATGTAGCATTTTAACTGTGCTGAATAATTGAATATTTTACCATTTTTCACCTCCCTACTTTATCATATATGGAATATAAAGGAAGGATGGTAATTGTGCAAAAGTCTAGAGTTTTTAACAAATTTTGACATTTTACAATCTTCTGGAGACAGATGAACTTAGTTTATCAATCTTTTCTCTCTGTGTGTGTATATGTAAACATGATAACTTGTGTACCATTTAAATTAGGTTGACGAAATTTCATATATAAGTATAATATCCAATTTGAAGTTATCTATCCACTATTTGGTACTGGCTCTACTTCAGGTTCTCAAAAGCTTATAATTTGAGTACTGTTTAAGTTAGGTGGACAATATTTCAAATATAAAAAATTAGATTTTATGAACATGTTTCAATCAATTTTTGAACAATTTTCGGTAACCCTAAATGGTACAAATTGTTGTTTCTTGCAGATAAATTAGAGTGGATTTAGGTTTTCTTTTAAGCTGTTTATTATTACTCTTAACTAGTATTTATTTTTACTTAAAATTTGATATCTGATTGGAGAAAAATAGAGCACACAGAAGATTTAAACAAAGGTTATACACACAAAGTATACACAGTCAGAACAGGTGAATATATCAAACCAACTTCTATTTATTCTCCCTTTACAGGCTTGTAAGGCATATGTCAATGCTGGATTTATGATGGATATTGATGTTAGCCGAAACTTCATGGTTAAAAGCAAGCCTTCTATTGTGATCCAGGGCATCAACTCCCAGCTGGTAAAATCTCTCAAATTATGTATTAATGTCAGAAATATAAATATATATCACATTGTTTCACCCATTTAAATAAAATATTTGCTCTTCCAGTTTTTATTTTTGTGGAGGAATAGCAATACATATTTTTCATAAGAATGAATTCTTGTTTTTTTTCTCTGTCAAACAAAAAAAATCTGTCATTTACTAATGTCAGGAATATAAAAATATCACATTGTTTCAAAATTTAAATTTAAAAAAAGTTTTTATGCATATTTTTCATATAAATGAATACATGTTTTTTCTGTCAAATAAAAAATAGATCCATGCTGTTCAAACTGAATCATTTTTAATCAGCAAGTCTTTGGGAGATCCAGCAATGCTACAAAGTAATTAAATTATGGTTTAATTTCATTTCTTAGAAATGCTCAATATTTTGTTTTTGTATTAAGAAAGTCTGCAGCAAAAATTGTCTTATTAATTACATTAATTAAATGAGATAAAACAAAGAAGCATATCTTTCCTTGTTTGAAAATTAGCTTTTTTTTTAAAATTCAGATGCCCTGACATTGCTGGCCTCTGAACTTATTCCTGAGACCCATCCAACTTGGGCCAGCCCAACCTACAGAAAGTCTCTGGCTGTGGGAATGTTTTATAAGGTTTGTACAAAACATGGAAGAACACATTGATTAATGAAACAATTGTAGACAGATGTATGCAATATAGATTTTTTATAAGAAAATGTGTGAGTTCTAAATTTTGTACAAAACATACAGCACACATTGATTAATGAAACTCTTATGGACTGATGTATACAAGATTAATTTTAGAAATAATATTTTAAATTATCTAGTTATAATTACAATTTTGTCGAGCATGATTATTCTGTTTCATTGTGTTCATCATTACTTAGTTTTAAAATATGCCTAATAATTTTTTGCGACTAATACTGTGTAAAGTAAGTATTTCACTAAATTTGTATACTAAATACAAAAAATAAAAAATACTATTAATGTGTTATAGACTTGTGTTCATTGAAAATAGCCTGCACACTTATATTATCGAAGAAGGCCTATATTTTATTATCATTATCATGTCTGTTTCAGTTTGTGTTGAGTATCTGCAGCAACAAGGTCAGCCCCAGATACACCAGCGGCGCCACTGGCTTGACCAGAACTCCAATTGTGGGAACCCAGGACTACGGCACTGACCCATCAGAGTACCCTGTGACTCAAGCACTGCCCAAAGTCACAGCGCAGTATTTGGTATGAATTCAAAACTAAATAACAGATTCATACAAATAAATCTTGTGATAGTAGATTTATCGTATAGATTAAGTAAAATAAAATTTAAAAACTATTATTTTGATTCAAGTAAGTTTTTGTCTTGTTTGAAATTCATTGAACCATAAATGATATTGAAACATGCATTGTAAATTTTATAATATAACACCTGCATAAAGTTAGTAAATTTATTATTTAAAGTAATTAATATGTTGAAGAAATTTGTATAATTCAAATATCTTGTAAAAAAATTAAAACAAAATGGTTGGCTATAAAAAAAAGAACCTTCTCATATTCAAACAAGAATACAACTGATCCTCATAACTTTTTGAAATTTTTTTTGAACTTTTATTTTAAAGATTTCGATGACAAATTATTTTTCCTTATCCTAGACAAGTGGCACAGCTCTGTTTTTAGATGACTTGCCAGCTGTGCCCGGACAGCTTAATGCTGCTGCAGTTATAAGTACAGTGGGCAACGCTGAGATTGACACCATAGACCCTTCCATAGCGCTGGTTTGTTCTCTGGTTTCTTAATATATCTACTCTAAGTACAGTCTTTTTCTACAAACATAGCTTCACCAACTCAAGCACTAATTTATGGAAAAATCATCCTAATACTATAAAACAAACTACAAAAGAAACTGTAATCCAAAATAAAAGTTAAAAAAAAACAATTATTGTATTACCTTGTAAATATAGTCAAGACTTCAAAAACTTAACATTGTTTCTTATTGTGCTGATTCTAATTCTCTACAATCCTAATTTTGTAAGCATTAATTTCTTTCCTTTATGATTTAAATACCATTTATTTTTATTTAAAAATACATTTTAAATTTGTCACAAACAGCCAGTTTAAAAAAAAATATCACTTTTATTCAGTATTATTGTCAGTGTTGAAAAATAAACTTTATCATTATTTTAAATTTTTGTAGTAAAACTAACATTTATGTTCAATTTAAAGAAATTCAGAATTTTAGAAATTCTCATGCGGATAATTAATGTCACTATAGTTATGAATGACTCTAAATGATGCATTTTCTCTTTTATTTCAGTCCCTACCTGGAGTGGTTGCTTTCCTGAAAGCTTCGGATATTCCCAAAGGGGGTATAAATAACTGGAGACCCAAGTCTTTATACATATTTAAACCTGGCACACAAGAGGTTTGTTTGCTGTTGACATTTACAGAAATCATTTCCTGTTTACTTTTGTTAATGGAGGCAGCCGAGTATGACAACATGGGTTTGATCATTATTGTTGACATGGATAAAAAACATGTTTTTTTTTTTCAATTTTATTATCATAAATTAAAAAAAAAAACCCAGGCCTGAAAAAAAAAATCAGAAATTTAATGTTTTTAGAATCAGTGTTATAAAATTTGCAGATGCAGAGAACTTTAAAATATTTTGTTTTCATTTAAGGCTACATTTTTATTTATTTTTATCAAGCCTCAATTATAACCCAAGCTTCACTTTTGTAACTGTAAGGCAAAGATTGATTTGCTTACAGGAACTCCATAATCCAATCTTTGAAGACCCTACTTTGTAGTCATTTGTACTCAGACTTCACTGAAACTTAAATGTTACCTCTGATAGTTAAGCTAAAAAACATTAAAACAATAAACTGTTGGTTTGTTTCACACTTTGCTTAAAATTTTATATACTTACTAAAAAGAGGCAAATGTGCATTCGTTGACTGAATAAACATTCTGTAACAAAGGTTGTAGCCAACCAAATTAAACCAATTTAAGCTCTGTATTTACTTAAGCAACAAGATGGTGTTCAACTAGTTTTATTACTTAAAAGATTTATTTTATAAAGATGCTTGAAAAATATTGAAACAATTCGTCTTAAACTTAGTTTATCAGTAATTAAGTTAATATTTCATTTGCTGAGTTAATTGTTAATCATTTAGAAGCTATGTTGACTGAGATTTTTATTGTACAGTTACTCAGCAGTGGTGTCATTGAATATGCTGGGCAACCAATAGGAATTATTGTGGCAGGTCAGTGAAATAGATAATAATTAATATATATGTTTTGCATATGTATATGGCAACAAATGGCAGGTCAGTGAAATAAATAATATATATGTATTGTATGTGTATATGGGAACATATGGCAGGTCAGTGAAATATATAATATATATTTATTGCATGTGTATATGGAAACATATTTGTAAACAAATACCTAAACTTTTATGTAAAAAAAAAATCTAAATTTATGTATTACATACATAATATAAAAAATATGTAAAAATTAATTTAAATTAAAATTTTCTGTAAAATATAGTAACTATAGGTAATTATTAATATGTAAGTAAAACTATATAAGAGTTTGTAAATATCCATGCATGTGTGCTTTTCCATATGTATATCTGACATTTACATTTTTCTAACTTTAAACCCAATTTGAATTACGTAGATGTGGCAACTACAGCCCAGACAGCTGCCAGTCTTGTGAACGTCACATACAAAAATGTGCAGGTGCCCATTGTGGATCTCAAAGATGGAGTGCAGAAGAAATCTTTCTTCCCTGATCCACCTGACCCTACAACTGTTGGTGACCCCAAAGGTATTTTTAAAATATCTATATTACGATGCATATTATCATTTGAAGAGTGTTTTCAGTTTATTAAATATGCACTGTTAGCTAAGTAATGATATTAAGTATTCAGGTGTGTCAGGTTTTTATGATTCTCAATTATTGATTTTTAGGCGCCATTGCCTCAGCACCCCGCAAGGTTAGCGGCAGCATCGGCTGTGGGGACCAGTTCCACTTCTATCTGGAGACGCCCACTGTCATCTGCACCCCGAGCGATGTAGGGGGCATGAAGGTCAAGGCCACGAGCCAGTGGCTGGATGGGGTGGGGGAGACGGTGTCCCAGGTGCTGGGTTTACCTCAGTCCAGGTAAGAAAAATATCTGGCGTGTTGTTTTCTTTTTTGTATTATTCCTTTGACAGATTGATTTCACATATTTTTTTTTAGTTTTCTGATTCAAATAGCTATTTTTTTTTTGTTTAAGTCAAATTTGTAACTTTCCATATTTCTGTCTTTCATTTTTCTAGTTTAAATTTAAGACCTCTGGTTGAATAATTATTTAACAATTATTTATTTGTTTCCTCTTATATTTTGAGATACATAAGTAATTTAGTTAATTAGTTAACTGATAACAGCAAAAATTGTTTACGAATCTTCAAAGTTATTTCTAAAATATAATTTAATAATTTCATTTTGCTTTTTAGCAAATACTGTAGAGATTTAATAACATAACATAAAAATATGTACAAGCTAACCATTAGACTTTTCTTGTAATGATCAGTGTTTTTAGCAAATACTTTAGAGATTTTAAAATAACTGTAAATTATTAAGAACATGGTTGTATAATAGTACTATAATAAAGTAATATAAAAATATGTACAAGCTAATCATTAGATTTTTTTGTGATGATCAGTGTTGAGGTGACTGCTGAAAGACTTGGTGGTGGATTTGGTGGGAAAATATCTCAGCCCTTCCTTGTGTCTGGACTATGTTCCCTGGCAGCCTATGCTGTTAACAAGTAAGTTGAACAAATATAAATCAAAGAACAAATAAATATCTGAAACAAAAATTATTTAATAAAGTGAGAGTTTTATATTTAATAATTGGAATAGTTACATATTGTTAAAAACTTAATTTCAAAATGTAATTAGTGTAAATTAGCAATAGAAAAATTAAAATAAATAAAATAAAACATCACATTTTTAATAGAAAAATTATTTTAACATTTTGAAAAAGGATTTTTTAAAGGATTTTTTAAAATTAATACATCCACCATAAGATAAAACATTATTATTCCAATATTATGTAAGGTAAATGACTTAAAAATATTTTTTTGAAATTTCTGACCAGACCAGTCAAAATGAACTTGGATATACACACAAACATGAAGATGCTAGGCAAAAGAGATGCATACTATGCAGAATATGAGGTGAATCTTCTTTCATTTATCTTACTAGCTTTTTTAATTGAAAAATAATTACACATATTTACAAAAAAACCTAAGATTGTTGTTAAATTTTTAAAAATTTCAACTTTACTTTTAACTTCATTTACATTTATCACTTTAACATAATTATTTCAATTTCTGCAATAAACAAAAATTATATGTATGTAATTTAAATTATTACTTTAATTATTTCAGGTCGGTTTCGATAACAATGGTCTTCTTTTGGGTATAATTATCAATGTGTACACTGATGCTGGAGTGAGGGACCTGGAGGGGGATGGGAATGAGCTACTCACTTGGATTGATAATGGTAATTTATTTTCTAAAATATTATTTTGTTTTTCTATTGACTTAACCTCTTTAGTATGAGTGTTTTAATAATTTTATCTTCTGCGGTGTGGAAGAAATTTTTCAAGGCTTTGTTTACTTTCAGCTTATTACTGTCCCAACTGGCTATTCACACCTGTTGCAGTAAAGACCAACAAGCCAGCTGGTACAGCTTGTCGGTCGCCAGGTAAAAATTTTAATTTTCAATACAAATTAAATGATTGCTTTTTTGTAATAATTATTAGTTGCATCATTTCTTTTAACATCTTTTATAATAGTAATTACTGTATTAAATCAGTTACTTTATACAATACCTGATAAATTAAAAGTGTTAAAAAATGAATGGAAATTTTAAAAAGTAGTGGAACAATTGAAATTTTAATGATAAGTGGATTTGTAAATTTTGTTTTGTTTTTGTTGTTTATTTTTTAAATTAAGAACAGCTTTTTAAAAAAAAACAAAAAAAAAACAACAACTATTTCTTGAACTCTCAAGGATCAACTGCTGCCATCTTCATCATGGAAAGCATCATTGAGCATGTTGCCAAATCTTTGGGTCGAGACCCCTATGAAGTCAGAAGGTTAAACTTGTATGTCAAAGGTCAGGTGAGTACATACCAAAAAACATTTTCAATAAAATGATTAAAACATTTTCAATAAAAGAATTATTACTTATATGTTATTATTACTTATTAGATATGTCATGAATGACAGTTTGCATATAAAAAATCTAATTTTCAATTACAGAAAACCCCCTCGGGAATGCCTCTTAATTACTGCACTATACGTGAGGTTGCTGAGCAGTTTGAGAGTGATATCAACCTCACTCAGCGTCAACAAGCTGTTGCCACCTTCAATACAGTATGTGCAATTTTTAGCTACCCATAATAGTATCAGTGTGTGAACAACAATGTGTTTTCAAATAGGAATTAGCCTTGTGAGAAAAAGAAATTGATTAATTTAAAGAATAAATTATATTATATTATTATATTATTATTATTATTATATTATATTATGTTTGGTGAAGTAGTAGAGAATATTATTGATAAACTGTAACAATGGCCAATTGATAAGCTGTAGGGTAAGTCTCAAGTACTAAACCTGGCTTCAAAGATCCTCCACATATTATAAGATAGGCCAATACAATCCTTTTACTGTATATACTATTTGTTTTACCAGCTAGCTTTTTTCAGATATTGTGGCAAAATTTATTCTACCAACAATTGTTTTTAAACATTGTTGTATTATTTGTTTTCATCAAAAATAATAAAAATGAAGGTGAATGTAGTATAATGTGGTTTACCATTTGTTAATGCTGTCAAATATTGTGTTACAATTTATCTGCCAGCCAATATTTGCAAATATTGAGGTTCGATTTGTTTTATCAACACATGTTGCCAAATATTATGGCATAGTTTGGCTGTCATATATTGTGTTGTAATTTGTTGTAACAGGCCAATAGGTGGAAAAAGCGAGGACTGGCTCTGATGCCCAATAGGTTTGGCATTGGTTGGCAGCAAGGCACATACAACACTCACATCATGATCTACCATGCTGATGGGAGTGTGGCCATTGCTCATGGGGGCATTGACATGGGGCAGGGCATCAACACCAAGGTAGGTCACTCCGATTTTTAAAAATAAAATCATAATGAAAACGAAATAATATATAACGTGTTGATTAGTTTTTCATCTATATATATAATTCTCTTCTTGGAGACCCTAGAAAACACCAAGCTGTAAGCGCGCTCCCTACCACCCCCACCACTACATGGTCTGGTGAACTGTGGTTCATGCTAAATGTTTACAATCGTAGAGGCGGGTTTAGTGACGGCCATTGGGGCAGATAATTTAGTTTGAAACGATTTTAAACTTAGGGGAGGTAACTAAGAGGAGGCTGCTAACATGGGGGGGGGGTAGGGGAAAGGAGGGGGCGGGGTTATCGTCCTTAACGAGCTACTGATTGTGTTTTAAAGCAAATATATTCAGTGGCAGCATTGGTCCTGTTGAATTCACAAATTATGAATTACTGAAAAGTAGAAAATAAAACAACTAAATAGCGGCGTATAATACGCCGCGGGTCGGCTTGTATAAAATAAAACACATACAACAAGTAATATAATGTAGGACAAATGTTCAACAAGTTGATCGTTATACATAATACAACATACACTTGTCCAGTTAAGTGAGGAAACTTCTGAAAGTTAGACAACAAATACAAACATAATATACAATTTGTGTTCTAGAATAAAATTACAACACAATACATACACAATATATAGTTTATGTTTTATATTAAAATTACAAGAAAACACACAATATACAATTTGAGTTTTGGAATAGAATTACTACAAAACAAACATAATACACAAGTTATGTTTTAAATTAAAATTACAAAAAAAGAAACACCAAAAAAAAAAACAACACAGTATACAATATGTGGTTTTTAATAAAATTACAACAAATTCCAAACACAATATACAGTTTATTTTCTATAATAAAATTGCAAAAAAATCCAAAAACAATTTTCATACAATTTGTATTCTGTACAATAATTATATGACGTAAATTTAGGTTATACAAGTTTGTGCATATGAGCTTGGCATCCCAATGGATAAAATTCGTGTACAGACCTTCTCTACAGTGATCAATGCCAACTCCACCACAACAGGAGGCTCCATAACCTCTGAACTTTGCTGCATGGTGAGTTTAGAATAAGTAAATAAACGTTGGGTAGCATTCTCAAACAGTTTCATCTTTATAATTTGAGAATTTTTAGTTTCACCTTTTATAAATTGAGAATTTTTTTCCCCTTGATTTTCCATTTAGGTTATTTAAGCCTAGTTAACTATCAAATAAAGACTAAATAATACTAATGTGTATTGTTTCCCCATTACATTTTTATATTTGTTTTCCTTGTAGTTCTAGGGTATTAAAAAGTTTTGTAACATAATTATTTAATGACTAAAGATTAATAATCAGTATAGTTTCACTTTTTTAGTTAAAAATGTTATTTCCCTTGTGTTTTCATATAAGGTATAGTCTTGTAGCATTGTCATATAAATACTGAATAATATAAATGTGTAGTGTTTCACCTTTTAGGTTAAGATTTTTATTTTCCTTGTGTTATCATACAGGGTGTTATAGAGGCTTGCAACATCCTCAAACAACGCATGGCCCCTGTGAAAGCTAAAATGGTGAACCCAACATGGCAAGAACTGGTGTCTAAGTGTTATGATGAGATGGTAGACCTGACAGCGTCTTTCATGTAAGCGATCAAATATTACTAATTTGTTGCTTATCTATATCTGATTTGTTTTCTGGTTCGGAACTAAAATTGAAATTCATCAAGATGAATTATTTCTTAAACCAACTAATTTTTTAACCCTTGAACTGAGGCCATTTTAACTTAGGTTTACGTTGTGATTTTCTCAAATTCCCCATTTATAGAAATGTTTTTTTTTTTTTAACATTTGGTACTAGACTTTGATGTTTTATCCCCAAACAAATGTGGACAGTTTAAATCTTCAAAAAATGTGTTTAAGGGGATATGCGCGGAAAAAAATCACAAAATTTCTTGTTTTTCGTCATGATGGGTTTCTAGCACTTTTGGATACTTTGTCCATTTTTGTATAAAGAAAATAATAACTTTAAAGAGAAAAAAATATTTTATGTGTTTAAATTACGATTTTTATGACCCTATAAATTAAAAAATAATCAATTTTTCCCAATCTTACAAGCTCTCTATAAAATGTTTTGTATCCGTCATTATATTGTATTTGACATCATTGGAAAGCTGGATTTCTCATGTATCTAATAAACTTAATTTCCTACATCTCGGAAACACCCAAAGCTTACAATCGGCTTTGCAGTTTACACAGATATGGTACTTTCCTGACCTAGTTTTCGTTACTTTTGGCTGTTTTTCTCAGTTTGCAGGTTTTTAACACTAAAAAGCCTACTACTTTTTTATTTATTAAACAATGCCAACCATATTTTCAGTAAATGTTCTTGATGCGAAAATACAACTTTTGTCATGAGGGAATTGTGATTGCTTTCATAGAAAAAAGTATTTGGTAATTAATATGCACGTTTTGAAACTTTTGAATACTAAAAATGGTACGATTTTTAAACCTTGTAAAATTCTTACTAGTAATTATCTCAAAAAGTTGTCGTGACAAAAGTTTTAATATATACTGAAATATAAGCAGTTTAAATTTGATTGCTATAGGTGCATAAATAAAAAAGCCTTAGTATTTTTAAAACACCGAAAAATTCAAAATGGCGGAGGGTTTTTGGGTTTCCATGACAACCAAAATTGTTTTCGACCCTCTTTTTTGCTGTTTAATACTTACTTTTATATGCCAAATATGATAAAAGTATTCAAAAGGCTTTAGATCTTAAAGTGTAAAAAATAGAAAAAAACATAGCATATCCCCTTAATATGAGTATATATCTACATCAGCTGAAGGCAAATACTAATTTGATTAAGTTAATTAACAATATTAACTTTTGTCACATTGTGTATGTAAATGCCATAATTTTAATGCCATAATTTTAATGAAGTTAAACTCCCCAACCTGATGGTCAGCTAATTAACTAAGTTGTGATTTCTGCTATGTGCAGGGGCCAGATAATCCCTTTCAGCTGCCTTTCCTTGCCCTAATCAGTACTCATTAAAGCTGGGGGCATTATTGGACGTGCTATGGTCAGGTACCCATTAGAGCTGGGTGGACTCAGTGAAGCCCCACTGAGCCAAATCCTGAAATGAATTCAGAACTTTTGGTTAAGTTTTAGCAGTCACACACTCTACTACCCTACTACACCATCCCATCCTTTGTATGAATAAACTGGAGAATTTTTTTTGTCTTACAGGACCGCCCCACAAGACCCATATGCCAGCCGCTACAACTGCTACAGTATTGCCTGTGTTGAGGCAGAGCTGGACATCCTAACTGGCCAGTACCAGCTTAGACAGATGGACATGTTGTATGACTGTGGTGACAGGTGGGTAGATAGGTTGACAGGTGGGTAGACAGGTGGGTGGACAGGTGGGTAGACAGGTGGGTAGATAAGTGGACAGGTGGGTGGACAGGTGGGTAGATAAGTGGACAGGTGGGTAGACAGGTGGGTAGATAAGTGGACTGGTGGGTAGATAAGTGGACAGGTGGGTGGACAGGTGGGTGGACAGGTGGGTAGATAAGTGGACAGGTGGGTGGACAGGTGGGTAGACAGGTGGGTAGACAGGTGGGTAGATAAGTGGACAGGTGGGTAGACAGATGGGTAAACAGGTGGGTAAACAGGTGGGTAGACAGGTGGGTAGATAGGTGGGTAGACAGGTGGGTAGACAGGTGGCTAGACAGGTGGGTAGATAAGTGGACAGGTGGGTAGACAGGTGGGTAGACAGGTGGGTAGACAGGTGGGTAGACAGGTGGGTAGACAGGTGGGTAGATAAGTGGACAGGTGGGTAGACAGGTGGATAGACAGGTGGGTAGACAGGTGGGTAGATAGGTGGGTAGACAGGTGGGTAGATAGGTGGGTAGACAATTGGGTAGACAGGTGGGTAGACAGGTGGATAGACAGGTGGATAGACAGGTGGGTAGACAGGTGGGTAGATAGGTGGGTAGACAGGTGGGTAGATAGGTGGGAAGACAGGTGGGTAGATAGGTGGGTAGACAGGTGGGTAGATAAGTGGACTGGTGGGTAGATAAGTGGACAGGTGGGTAGACAGGTGGGTAGATAGGTGGACAGGTGGGTAAATAGGTGGGTAGACAGGTGGGTAGATAAGTGGACTGGTGGGTAGATAAGTGGACAGGTGGTTAGACAGGTGGGTAGACAGATGGGTAGACAGGTGGACATGTTGTATGATTGTGGTGACAGGTGGGTAGATTTTTGATTTTTTACTAGCTTGAAAAGTGGCAGCTGAATTGAATTTACTGCAGCTGTCAAAACAAAGTTTGACAAAAACCCTATATAACAACAACACAAAATAGGATAAATTGCATGTATGTTGTATGTTTCAGTATCAATCCTGAACTAGATATTGGACAAGCCGAGGGGGGTTTCATCATGGGGATGGGATATTTCTTACAAGAACAAATGATATTTGACCCAGTAAATGGACAAGCCCTAAATGCAGGAACTTGGGTAATTTCATATTAACATTGTTTTTTACAAATAAATTTGTATATATAATTTATAATATTTTTAGTTAAAATGTATATTGCATATTCATAAAAAGTTTTTAAAATAACCATTGACCATAGTTTGAAAGATTTGTTTAATTAGATACTAGGATCTTAATACTTTTTTTTAAAACCCAGGAATACAAGCCACCCATGCCTAAAGATTTGCCTATGAATTTCAACTTCAAATTTCTGAGAAATGCACCAAATCCTCTAGGTGTTTTGCGTTCAAAAGGTTGTTAGACTTCTTTTTAACTAGGATAACTTCTGCAATTTTTCGAAGATTTGACTCTTAGCATATTCATATAGACGTAGCCAGATTATTGAGTATTAAGAGAGTTTTAAAATCAACGTATTAATGACGATATTAATTACTTTTTAGCTGTTGGTGAACCCCCACTGACAATGGGAGCTTGTGCACTGTTTGCCATCAAACATGCTGTGGAAGCTGCAAGAGCAGAGATTGGCCAGGACACTTACTTTCCATTAGGTAATTTTATACTCAAAATGATAAGTTGGCCAGGACAATTTTTTTACTTTAGGTTATTTTTTATTGTTATTTATATAATGTAAATTTTTAAATTTACCATTGAAATTAAAATGTAAAAAAATTATATAATAATTTATATTAATTAGCATCTAGTTTTTGATAGACTAAAACTAACTCATCATTAATACATAAATATTTTTCTGAAAGTTCATCCAGTTTAAAATTTATAACATTGCAGACTCACCAGCCACTGTTGACAAAGTCCAACTTCTGTGTTTGAACGACATATCAAAATTCACATTGGGAAATTAGTCTATGGTCAGTTGGAAGTCAATTGAAAAATAACCAATAAAATGTTATTTAAGTTGATAGAATATAGAATATTATTTTTTTAAATATAAATCAGTCACATATTTTTTTTATTATTGTGAAACCATGTGTTGCTAACATAAATTTTATGTTGTTTATTTCTTTTTTTCGAATTTTATACTGAGTAAATAATAGCTAATCAATTGAAAGTTTTTCTATTTATATTTATTACAAAATTTTACAAAGTAAGTAATGGCCATTTTAAAAATGTTTTTAAATATACTGTTAATTTGTTAATTTGGCTTAGTAATAATTTATAGTTTGTGACTCTTTTTAAGGAGCATAGTTATTTCTTCATGACAGAATTATGTGATTGCAATGAATTGGCTTTGTTGAAATTTGACATTAAGTCCTACTCTAATTAGCAGTTTGAATAAATATTGAAACAATAATTTAAGCATTATTCTTTAAAAAAATATTTTTAAATGTTTCAAAATGTTTGATTTGTGCCATTATATTATAGATCCTGACAGTAAGAATTCCTTTGTTACAAAATGTTTACATATTTATTTCTTAACAGCATTTCAAATGTTATGTGCAATTTTTTCTAAGGAGATTTAACAAAGCATATGACTTAATGTTTTGCTTAAAAAGAAAATTTAAACAATTTGTTGTATACGTTAAACAAATATGTGAGATTATCAAAATATTTATAAAAATAAAATTAAGTGATGCAGCTTTTATTTACAAGACATGCATTATATTTTACATGACATTTTCTTTTATAACATGTTTGTTACTGTTTTAAAATTATTATATCCAACCACAATGTGATTAATTATTGTTGATAAAATTGTGCAATATTATATAATTATTAAAGAGTGTTATTAAAATTAAACAGAGTTCTCCTTTAAATTTTGTTTGAACTATCTGTTTTTTATTATCAAGATGTAATCAAACTTTAACTTGACGGCTAACCCAGATTACACTGTAGCCTCTTATACTTAATACACCTTGCTCTGATGGATAAGTTACTTCAGTGGTGTAGTCAGGAATTGGTCATGGGAGGGGTTCAAATATGTTTCCATATGTATGAAGTCATATATATATATATATATATATATATATATATATATATATATATATATATATATATATATATATATATATATATATATAATTTGTTTCTCGGGGGGGGGGGGGACACACCACGAAGTGCCGCACCGGGTGACACCCGACCTAGCGACACCACTGAGTGAGGCCTCTCTCTTTAGTTTAGCCCATGTTAGCTCTGCAGCCCGTGCTGCTTCTTTCACAGTCCTCTACAATTGTTTCGGTTAGCCTGAAAATTTTAATGTTTTCTAAAAAGTGGATCTTTAATTCGTCACAAGTATCAAGTAAGTATTTGTAGGTGTGCTGGCCATGCAGTCACTTTTTTTGAGATCGTCCATAAATGACGTCACACCATCTGAAATCTCCCCCCCCCCCCTCATCACATACCGTCATAAAATTAACGTCACACTTTTTTCATTATAAAAAAGCAATGTTAGAAAAAGAATTTTAGCCGTTATTTCGCGTTTTAGAAAACTGTTTTAACACATTGTAAATAATACTATGTTGACAGAGTTCAGACAATATTCTGGAAAATTATCGTATTTTAAGAAAAATTTTCTGCAATTTTGAGGGGGGGGGGGGGGGGTGGGGGGTGGGGGGGGGTGTAGGCTGAGGTGTGACATTTAATGGGGGAGGCTGGCTTTTTGTGACGATGTGTGACGGAGGAGAGGGGGGAGGTAAAAATCGTCAAAAAAAGTGACGCAAATATTTTGTACAGGCCTATGCACAAAGCGCCCCCCCCCCCTCCCCCCATTTTTTTAATTGTCAAAATTATGAATGTCACAATTATAAAGCTGAATACACGTTTGCTGTAGTTTAAATTTCTGGTCTAGGGGATGTAACCGCGTAAAAATAATTTTGCTACATGTTATACATTTATCGCCCTTATAAAAACCGTACTGAAATAGAAAGGCCTATTTGTAAGCTGTTTGAAAAAAAAAAGACGACTTATGATGAAACAGGTTATCTTGATCTTCCAAAATTGTTTTATTTTAGAAAGCAACACTAAACTGAAAAATAATTGTACGATTACTTCTCTTACACCACATTTGAATTAAAGAAATGTACGATTAAGCCAAGGATATTGTCTACTTAAAGGTTTGCCAATTTTCTATTGAAAACGGACATAAAAAGGCTCACTTACTAAAGTTACTTTTAAAAATGATTTCACCTAATTAAAATAAAAATTCCGTTTTACAGTGAGGGAAACAACTCTTACCAAACTAAAATAATAAAATATTTGCATGTTTACTTCCCTTAGACCATAATTTTTTAGTCTATTTTAAAAGTTAGAGAAATAACTAAAAGCTAAGTTAAATGAAACAGGAAGAGTTAAAATGGGCTAAATTCAATATTTATATCTTTTTAGTTAATTATCCAAAAATAGGGCTAAATAAACTAAATATAAATAAGTTTAGGTCATCAATAAGTTTAGGCCTATTTTCTAGTTCGAGGTGATGAAACTGTAATTTTAAAATTAATGTTTAATTCAATTATAAGGCTCAAATTTTTTTTATTCAATGCTCAAGTAGGAGGAAAGAAGGCTAGTGCTCTATTTAGATTCGGGTAAGGTAGGGTAAGTTTACGGTAAAAGCTTGTAAGCCTACTATTATTTTTGCTATTTTTAGTTTTACTTTATACAACAGCCACGTGATCTTGGTCATGTGACATTATTTATATTTGTCTTATCCACGCCGAGGGTAGTTTCAAGCATTTCCACCTGTATGTTGAAGTACGCGTATGAACTTTAGTTATCAATTGTCAATTAGGGTTCAGAATCTAAAATGTCTAAAAACATTTTATTTGAAAAACCCTCGACCATAGCCTGTCCTGTGTGCTCGACAAAGTAAGCTGTCTTTGACCTTCTTATATTTTATTTTTAGCAATATTTTAATTTAGAATTTTAACTTAGAAATTTATTAATTTTTAATAATTTAGATTTAGAAATTTAGAATCTAGAGATCTAGATCTACATCTGGCTAGTACTGTGGCTAGTAGATCTAGTAGCTAGATCTTGAGATCTAGACTAGTAAAAATAGTTGGTAATCTATCGTTTTAGGTACGTAAAATCGCCCCGCGGCTAGTAGTAATGTACGAAAAAGTTACCTCATTGTCAAGGCTTTATAATAGAAGTAGGCCTATTATTTAATAGTATATTACTATATTGAATATTGTGATATATTTGTGTAAAATATTATAGATTAATGAATAATAAACCTAAATCAATGGCTAAATAATAATAAATATATCAATATATCACGGGTCGGCGTGGTCGAGTCGGTAAAGCTCATGGTTGCTAAACCGAGAAAAGTCTCGAGTTTGAACCCTCGGGCAGATGAGGCTCGTTAGCTGGAGACAGCCACTCTTCTAGGAGAGACAACTCCAAAATCAAACAACTGCTGCCTTGTAGTTTGTTCTTGGTTGGACAAAGGCTATGGAAGCAAATCCAAAAAGAAAAGCAGGTTGAAATCGGAGTCAATGGCCTCAGTGGCGCATAACTAGTTGACATGTAATCCTTAATTGTGATGGAAGCATGGTTGAATCGGCAAAGCTCATGGTTGATAAATTCGAAAATGTCTTGAGTTCAAACCCTCTGGCAGATAAGGCTCGATCCCTCCCAACACTAAAAATTAAGAACGAAGAAGAAGAATATAGGCAAGAAATTAACTTTAAACAGCAGTGTTTGCAAGCAAGATTTGCTATATAAACAGCAGCCATTTGTAAAATAGAGTGACTTCCCCTGAATCTCGCGCTATAATGTTACAAAAAAAAACTTAAACAAGATAGCTGCTATAGTATATGAGCATGGTTGCATTTGTAGGAAACATAGCTAGTCTTCATTTATTACTGAAAAGTTTTAATTCAGTTGTTTAAAAACAGGTACATAAATAAAATAAGGAAACATTTTTTGTAATTTTTCAAAACATAAATCCTCCTCAAAATGTGAAATAATTATTAAAATTTAAGGAGTCGGCGATTAATCAATGATTAATTTAATAATTAAATTTTAATGATTACCAGTTTTTTAAAACGGGAAATAGAAATAATGGCTAAAATGTGTTTTCTAACATAGCTTTTTAATGCAAAAGTGTGAGGTCACACCATCTGACCCCCTCCCCTCCCCTGTCACACAATTATGGACCACCCTCCCCTTACAATTGTGATGTCATTTATGGACAACAATTAATTTTAAGGAATGCTTAGTACTGGGCCTAATTGCTAGCTGTCTAGGCTGCAAATATGATACTTTGTACTTTGTGCTATATTATTATTATAATTATATTTATATGATGAGGGGTGGCATGGCCTAGCAGTGGAAGAGGAGGAACTCTACTTCATTTGCCCCATGTGTCTTGGACACAAACGGGAAAAGATGATTTATATTATGATCTTTTGAATGTGGAATTAATTCAAATGGTGATACTTAAAGTATTTATTTTTTACTTCACTAAAGTCACTTACCAACAAAGGGTGAGTTATCCAATGGCATCTATGCATGTACCTGTGAAAATTGTGGGCATTTTTTCAAGTTTAAAGCTGTTCAAAATTTCAAGAGTACTGTCAGCTTCACCATAAATGGTGTAGCATATACAGGTAATTTTTACTTTTATTTATATTCTTATATAGGACGTTGTAGACAGATGACGGAGCACTTGACCCTTAAATAGAAGTTCTGGAGTTTTTATCCAATGCTCAACACTGTTGTAGGTCCTTAAGGAGGTAGGCTCCGGTAAAATACTCGTTAGGAAGCAATTGTTTCTCTATAGCTGTTGGTGGAAAAATCTTGGTAACTATGACAACGACGGCCATCTTGAAAAATTAACCCCTTCGTAGGTTTTCCACCATTCTTGAAATATATTTTAAGCCCAATAAAAAATGAATTTATAATCTTCTTCCATAATTTGGGGTACTCAGCTAAAAATTTTAAGTGCATATCTTCAAACTAATTTATGAATTTTCAAATTGCTGGTCCATTAAAAAATTCCCCAAAATTAAGTGTTTTGAACGGACACAAATTTTGAAAATTCATAAAAATAATGTTTTATGAATGGTGGAAAACGTACAAAGGGGTATATTTTTCAAGATGACAGCTGTTGTCATATTTACCAAGATTTTACCACCAATTTTTTTAGTGGAAACGCATCCGCTGATGTACCTTAAAAAGCTGTAAAAATAAAAAAATTTTTAACAAGTATTATAAAAGGTTTTTTTTATACCAGCGCCTACCCCCTTAAATCTAATCAGCTCTAAAGGGTACCAGACTTGCATTAGGGAAAGTAAACGCAACTGAGCATAAGGCTGACCACATTATCCCTTCATATGTGTAGGTTACGTAATCAGATTAACTCTACTTCAACTTCACAGTGGGCTATCAGGTTTAAAAAAGTAATTCATGGAAGTTTTTGGCAAACTCAGTCTTTAAAAAAAATCAACTAGAAAATGTATGTATGTACTATGTAGCTACACAGAAAGTTATATTTGAGATTCAATACTTTAACTTTGTGGAAGAAATTGTGTGTCAGTCCTTTTTTTACCTTAAGTACAAATATCTAGCCATTGTGTCTGATCAATTAAAGAGCTATTCATATAATAAGTTGCATACTTTTCTTAGACTGGAGCTTAAGACAGCAGGCTTAGAGACTTAATACAATTGAGACATTTTTGACCGGTTATATAATATATAAAACAAGTATTAAAATAGTTACAAAAGCTGCTATGTATATGTAATTTATTTGTTATTTATCTATTTCAGAGTGTAGTTTTTTTTGTATTTTATATTTTTTCCTGGAGCTATTTGTCTGTATTGTTTAATAAGTAATTCTACATGAAAACATTAGCTCATACTTAAATAATCTGTAGATCACTTATGACTGCACAGTTTCTTATCAGAGGAAATAGTTATCGGTAATTTATACAGCTCTGTATAGCTGTGGTGGTCTTTGGCCTTTTTCACCACCTTTTTCCGCTTGTCTGCTGTCTTCTGCTTCCATGTCTGCCTTTAGGTCTGTCACTGCTTTATCAAACCACCTCTGTCAAAGTCTGTTTTTTTTTGTTATTTACCTTTGGAGCTTTAGTTAACTATGACTTTAACCCCTCTGTTGTTTTGGCAATCTTTCCAGATGATCTAACCGTCGCAGTAGTTATCAGTTAATGAGTACGTTTTAATTAAACTGATTAAGGGTTAAAGTACTAAAACAAGTAGATAGAACAGGTCGTTAACCAGATAAGGGAAATCATCTTATCAAATATGCAGTGTATAAATCAATTTTATTTTTATCTTCAACCTACTGTAGGCTAATCATTCAGTTAACTATATACATTTAAGAAAATAGAAATATAAAAATAACCATGACAGAGTATTACTTTCATTAACAGCCTAAAATTATTGTCTAATGCATGTCTAGACTTATTATCATGTGAGGCTCCTGTTGAGCAATTAGTTACAACGACATAACACATAATATAATATATATATATATATACTAGGCGTGCTGCCCAGCTTCGCTTAGGCTTTCGAAAACATTGAGAATTTGAATGCTTAATTAATTCGCCCGAGGGTCGGTCTACGACCTCAAGAGTTATGAAGAGGTTCCTCCGTGGAGATTTTTTTTCTATTTATAGCTCATATAAGGTACCGGTCAGTCGAGGTCAGTTTTGACCCCCTCATCGTAGACTTTTCGGCCAACCGGCCCCCGTGTTCTGTCGCCCCAAGGCAAGATCCTGCCAAATTTGAAGCGCCTGCGGCGCCGGGAAGTGCCTTATCGGACACCCGACAATCTAGATCTAGATCTAGAATCCTAATTGAATTTTTTTTTTTTAAGTTTAGTCCGAGCAAAATAAAAAAAAAAAATACATTAACCAAGTTGACTTGGTGGGTCTCGAACCCGCACCACCTGCGTGGTTTATAGTACACTAACATCTCCGCTATTTAGGCACCTTATAAAATACAGAGAATGAAAGACGTATTTTAAAATCTTAACTTACGCGAATATGCCTATTCTATCAAATTAATTTTTTTATCCCAAATTAGCCAGTTCCAAACAAAGATTTTGTATAAATAAATGTTATGAGTTTAGGCCGGAAAAATTGTATTGTATACATTTCATAGTGTACGTAGATCTAAATCAAATTTGAATGAAATAGTTCATTTCTTTTTTATTCTAAACACAGCAGATGACGTCATTAGTAAGCAATAGTGTCGTCACAGTTTTATGCGTTCTTTTACACATCTATTAATGCTTTTCCGGTTGCATAAATAATACTGTTTCTCTACATTCGAATACGCCTTTATTTTATATTTTTCTTCTTTAAATAAAATTGTGGTTATACATTTAAAACATCTAACATATTATTTTCAACAAAAGTCCGTATAAAGTTCTCAATATATTGCTGCCGTTTCTGACGTGATGTCCGGCGAAAATTTTTTGCGGACAGAGAGAGAGAGAGAGAGAGAGATGTGCGAACGTGGCCCATTATAGTATTAGATATATATATATATACACACACAAATATACTAAACAAATGGCTCTATAGTCTGATAGATGATTCGGGGGGGGGGGGGGGGTCTCATCTTGGTCTGAGCTGCAAGTTGAGAAAAGCCAGATATTTCCTATCTATCAATTATATAATTTTGGTGGGTAGTCAGGGAGTTCTAGCTCACACACTCACACACACAGTTGCCTACACCTCTATGCTGCTCAATCTAATAAACTGTCTTCGGTGAACGCATTATGGAATTCAAACTATAAAAATTTTTATTGAATTTAATTGCACAATTGGACAACTGCACAACAGAAAATTTCGCAAACAGAAAAATGTGCAAATATAAACTAATTATACTAATACACTTTAATTTTGTCATATTTCATGGAAATGTTTTATTATGCTACAGTGTACATGTAGTCACTCTTTGTTAATGTTTAAAAGTGCTCGATTTAATAAAACAAAAATGCATTTGCGCAGTTTTCCGTTGCATGTCTTTCCTGTCACCACTTGTAACACACAGCAAAACGATAAAAATCCTAAATTACATTAAAGATGTTTTTTATATTTCTGAACGAAACAGTTGGAAATGAATACGACCCAGCCACATCTTTAAATGAATACATGCGCCAGTCGGGAGCCTCCATCGGCACTAAAGGTTGTTGCTATGAAGGAGGCTGTGGTGTGTGTCTGGTCACTGTTAAATTCCTGGATCCCATCACCTCACAGAAGGTGGAGCATGCTGTCAACTCGGTGAGTCTTTGTTGATAACTAGATGCAAGTTTACACATAATTTGTGGTAGATTTTTGTTTATCAAGGGGACGGTACTCTAATAGGTAGGTGATATGTGTATGTGTCAACAACGGATGCAACTCTAATTGTTTTTGGTAAATAGATACATTTTTGTGTGTGTCAGGGGTGCAACTCTAATACAGTGGATAAAAAAAATATTGTTGTAGATGACTTTTTTGTCAGTATTGTTTCTTCCAGACTGGTAAAAGTATATGTTTTCTATATAAACTCCATTTTGTTTGGGGGGGGGGGGAAAGCAGAGATGAGAAGAGATGCCTGGAAGAAACTCTGTCAGGGGATGCAACTCTTATTGACTGCTGATGTAAATTATTTAAGACAATGCATAATAACATGTTGGCACATAATACTTAATTATTTTGAAGGTAGTCCCCTTCTATATTACAATTAGAATGAAGAAGAAGGTTTTTTGCAGGCACGCTTTTTTGACTTTTCAGTTATTCAACCAATTTTCTTTGCAAAATGAAAGTAAAAAAAAAACAATTTTTAAAATAATTTTTGTTGTTTTCAGTGCTGTCTTCAACTGTATACATGTGATGGTATGGAGATCACAACCATTGAAGGGCTGGGTAATACAAAAATTGGATTACACCCTATACAAGACAGAATGGTGAAACATGATGGAGCTCAGTGTGGGTTTTGTACACCTGGGCAGATCATGAATATGTATGGGTGAGTGTACCAGTACACAGATTATCACAGCCATGGTTTAATTACAGAGAAAAAAAAGATTAGTGATTACTTAAATATTAAATCCTATTTTCATTATTCACTTCAAAGTTAAGAATTAATCTTTAAATTTATTTACGACCAGAAAATTTTGTTAAAAATGGGGTGGGTTTCTAATTATCTAATTATTTGGTATATCAAATTATTCAACCACTATGGAACCCATTTAAAAATAAAATTCTACCTCTACATTAACAAAAAATTATTTTTGCGGAGTAGATTAAATATTGACCCTAAAAAACTTGACAATTATATCCAGAAACTTGGGGTAGTAAAATTCCTTGTCAGTTAACAAATTGTAAACATTATTTTAGTTTTTAAACTAGTGATTTTTATTTTTCCCAGGTTGTTGAAGAAGAACCCAACCCCTACAGTTGCCCAGATTGAAGACAGTTTTGATGCCACCATTTGTAGATGCACTGGCAAGTTCTCTTTTGTTCAACAGTTTTAAACAATCTGACCTGTAATTTTAAAAAAACTTAAGGAAACAAAAATATTAGAATGATTAAAAAACTATTTGTTTATTTTTAAATACTTTTCTCCCTCAGGTTATAGAGCTATCCTAGATGCCATGAAATCATTTGCAGTTGATGCACCAAAGTCTCTGAAAGGAAGTTTGATTGACATTGAAGTAAACACATTTGTGTAGTTTTTTTTCCCAGTCGAATTGTGTAGATTATTTTCTTTCAGTGCTTAATGAAGTATAATTTTGAAAGGTTTAACATTCCTATCTATTATTGAATTATGAACAAAGCAAAGCACTAGTATTAATTAAAGGTTTGGAGTTGCATTTCTGAAAATTAAAATTAATAAAAACTAAATCTGATAAGTTTAGCAAATTTTTTTTCAATAATAATAGCTTAAAGAACAAATTTTATGACTTAGGAGCTGGATGGGAAACTGTGCAAAAAATCTGGCCAAGCCTGCACTGGACATTGCCACAAAAACAAAACAGGGAAAAATGGACACTGTGAAAACCAAATAGAGCGTCCAGTTCATATTGTGGGGGACGGCACTCAGTGGTTTAAACCTACCAGCTTGCAGGATTTGACAAAACTTTTGTACCAGCATCGTTCTGACAAGTATAGACTTGTCTTTGGCAACACATCTTTTGGTGAGATACATTATACAAGTTATAATTACTACACTTTATTTTTATCTGATTAATTAATTTTTTTATCCACTATTATTTTAACCTAGAAATTATAATATTTTAATAAATTAAAAAACTTGTACCATAAATGGTTCAAATCTTCTAATTTTTTTTCTTTGAAGAAAATTGTAGTTACTTACAACGCTCTGAAAAATCATGAAGTAGAATGGTAACTTTTTCTGCTAAATACATTTATTTTAGGTGTTTATCAAGACTTTGGACCTTGGAATTTTAACATTTTAATTGACATTAGAGGAGTTCCAGAACTGTATAGTATCCAGGTAAAATAAAATACCAACTGTTATTATAGAGTTAATAATGAAAAATATATTTGGCATTTTCATTCCTTTTAGTATCATTGTAGCTTACATTATTTAGTTTTTTGTGTTTGTTTTTAGTTTATTATGTTTAAGTTAATAGAATAAATTGTTTTATTTAAACATTTTATCTCTCACTAATAATTTATGTTCGTAAAGACATAAAAAACTTAACGATTGTTACGACTGTTTTGTAAAAAAAATCTTTTTTCTTTCTTAATGATGATCATTATATAAAGTAATTATATATTGAATACATTTATAACTTGTTTCTTAATTTCTACTATAGATTCAATAAACATACCTATTTGACTTTATTGACTGCTGTGGTTCTTTAAATAGATAATGTAAACTTATGATTATTTCAGAATGATGCAAATATTGTTCTGGGTGCTAATTTGTCTCTGAGTAACCTTACTGACTATTTTAACCAAAGCAAATTGTTGAATGTCCCTTATGCCGCAACGTTTGTTCAACATCTGCGATATGTTGCACAAAATGGAATCAGAAATGTAAGAATTGAGAAGTCTCAAATTTTTTTGCATCACTAAAGTGTTAACTATTTAATGTATTAAAGTCAAGGGTAAATAAAACTATAGTTCAAATTGAAATGTTGTCAGTTGATTGTGAATTAAAATATCATTCTTTGAAATTTTGTACAGATGAGTTGCTGGGCAGGAAATCTTATGATCAAACATGCTCACCCAGAATTCCCTTCAGATATATTTACACTACTGGAGACTGTAGGTGCAACTCTTGTCATCAGTAAGTGTCATTCCTTAAAAAATGACAAAACTAATTTTTTTTAAATTTGATAAGTACATTTTAAATATTTATTTCTTATTTTTATTGTTCAGGTCTTATTAAAATTTATATTTTAAATTTTGACTTATAAATTATTTTTTAAATTTATAGATGATGGTGATGGTAGCAAGAGCCAGTATAGTCTTTTGGAGTTTCTTGGCTTAGACATGAGAGGAAAGGTCATAACATCAGCTGTTCTCCCCAAGTACACATCAAGTGGTGTTAAAGTTCTGACCTACAAAACTTCTCTACGTTTGCAGGTTAGGTAGATTTTAACTGTTTTTTTTTTGTTAGTTTGCAGGTTAGGTAGATTTTAGCTGTTTTTTTTTTAGTTTGCAGGTTAAGTAGATTTTAACTGGTTATTTTTTTTGTTAGTTTGCAGGTTAGATTAATTTTTTTTTTTTTTAAACTGATTTAGATATATTTAGAATTTTGTAAATAAAAATGTTTGATCCTCAAATTAGTACATAGATCTACTTTTTCTTGTCTAAGCTCTATTGAGTTATTTAGATATTAGTAAAAAAAAATATTTTAGTGTCGTATTAATAATTGCCATTGGAATCTAAAACTTTTCCGAACTCTTTGTTTTTAATAACATTGTACTTGTTTTCATTTTTTCAGTCCTCTCAGGCTTACATTAGTTCAGGGTTTATGGTGGACGCTGATTCTAGCCAAAATTTTCTGGTCAAATCAAAGCCTTCTATTGTTATTCAAGGGCTGAGCTCTCAAATGGTAAAAAACAAGAAAACTTGTTTTATTTTTCCTTACTTCCCAAATTTCTTTTTAAAAAAATATGTTTTCATTTTTAAAAAATTTAAATCAGTGGCCTGTATTTATATAAAACTGATCAAAGTTTAAAAATTACAAAATCTACTTTATTTTAAAAATACAAATGTATTTATTTATAAATATAAAACTACACAAATTAACATATATTATTATACAATGCTAGATATTTCCCTAATTTAAATCTAACCTTAAAAAAGTCTTATTTTGTTTATTGTTTAGGGCTCATAATAATAGTAGAGTACCTCAAAATACTTTTATTTAAAAAATTTGCGGAAGATATAGACTAGTATATTTTTAAATGTGCCTTTTTAATTTCTTTTGTAAAGATCCATGCTGTCCAAACAGAATCATTTCTAACAGGGAAAGCTTTAGGGGATACTGCTGTACTGAAAAGTAAAAAAAATTTTTTTTTCAAAAATGAGTTAAAATTTATCATTTTTAGTAGTATTGTAAGTTTTAACTTATTTTTAGAATTAAACAATAAAGGTAGGCTATATCAAGTCTTTTATTTTTACTTGTTTTTATTGTTTTGTAGATGCCCTAGCTATTTTGAACTCTGAGCTGATCCCTCAAACATTGCCAAACTGGGCCAACCCAAGTTACAGGAAATCTCTTGCTTTGGGGATGTTTTACAAGGTTTGTTTCAGTCTCATTAGTTGCTGTTTTTAAAAAGTCTTCTTTCTTTCTTGCGTAGTTGATCTCAGGTAACAAAGATTTTTAAGATGACACCCATAAGGCTTTGCTGCTTATATTTTATTTTTTTCATAATCGAGAATCAAAGTTATATTTATTATAATCAGAATAAAAAGTTAACTCAAATTAAATTATTTTTATCAAAATTTCTTTTTAATTTAAGATAAATTTTTGTTCTGTTTTAAGTTTGTCTTAGCTGTGTGCCAATCCAAGGTCAGTCCCCGATACACCAGCGGCGCCACTGGCTTGACCAGAACTCCAATTGAGGGAACCCAGGACTACGGCACTGACCCATCAGAGTACCCTGTGTCTCAGCCCATACCTAAAGTAACAGCCCCATACCTGGTGAGTAGAACTAACGTGTTAGTTATGTAGTGGTCGCATCTTGATAAGTTGATTAGGAATGGGTTTCTAGTAAAAACCGCAATGGAAAAAAGGGAAAGTAAAGATTGCTCAAACAGAAAAAAGTGAAAGTAATAAACGCGTTATTCTAATGCAGTTTCATTCAGTTATATTTTGTGGAATTATGTTTTATTATGCTACTTTTAACGAGTGGTCATTCTTAGCTAATGAGTTTAAATTATTGATTTAACAAAAACAATTTACACTTTGATGACATTTCTATAACTTGTGGTAAAATTTTGATAAGGAGTGTTGATATGTTGATAATTAGTGGTTGCATAAATATAATGAGGAGTAATGCAATTTACTGTTTTGGAATAAAAAAAATTCTAATTAAAAAATTCTGATTCCAAAGTTCTAATTACAAAGTTTTAATATCAAAGTTCTAATTAAAAAATTTGAATTAAAAATTTCTAATTAAAAAATACTTTTGTTCAGACAACTGGCATGGCTCTATTTTTGGATGACCTAAAAACAGCACCTGGCCAACTGAATGCATCTGTTGTGGTCAGCACTGTGGGAAACGCTGAGATTGACACCATTGATCCATCTGTTGCATTGGTTTGTTGCATCTTTTCTTATATGCTGCAATTTTTAGTTATTTTTTTTACATCTTTTATGTTTATAGTAACAAAAATTTGCTTCTTTCATAAGTTCTTAATTTTTTTTTAGTTAGTTCCTTTATCTTATTTAAAAAAGTAACTTATTTACATTTATCCTTTATCAAAAATTTAAAAAAAAGATTTTTTTAGTTAAATAAGAATCCACTTAATTCAATCAATAATTTTTAGTCCATATTTTATTGTAGCATGATTGCTAGTTAACATTTGATCATGAGCTATTTCTCATGTCACTGCTAATCACATTTTGTCCCGAGCTATTTCTTATATCACTATAATTGAATTTTTATCCTGAGCTATTTTTTATATCTCTATAATTGACATTTTATCATGAGCTATTTCTTATATCACTCTAATTGACATTTAATCCTGAGCTATTACTCATGAGTCATGTCACTATAATTGACATTTTATCCTGAGCTGTCCTGTTTTAATTCATCAGTCACTACCAGGGGTTGTTGCGTTTGTAAAAGCCTCAGACATCCCCAAGGGAGGTGTTAACAGCTGGTTACCCAAAGGGCAATACACAGGCAGCAAACAGGAGGTTTGTTTTTCATGCAGCTTTCATACCACCACTTAAAACAGTCCACCCAACTCTGATGGGTACATAACTCACGTTAGGGGAAAGTAAAAGCGGCTGGGCATAGTGCTGACCACACTATCTCTTCATATTCCGAGGTCACAGAAACAAGTGAACTCTACTTCACATGCCCCATAGACCATCAGGTTTGAAAGGAAAACTTTACTTTACTTACTTTAAACAGGCTGAGAAAATAGATTGTTAATTTTAGTATTAGATTTTTTTTCTCTTTTCTTACTTGAAACCTCAAATCAACACCAGTATTACTAGTAAGTAGGGGAGAGTGTGGCCTAGTGGTAGAGCATTAGATTGCTAACCTGAAAGTCTAGAATTTGAATCCGAGTTTCAAGTCAGGAGAATGTCCTGGAGTCCACCCAGCTCTGATGGGTACCTAATTCCAGTGAGAGAAAAATAAAGGCACGACCACACTATTCCTTCATATGCTGAGGTCACAGAAACAGGTGAACTCTACTTCACTTTCCTCATGGACGGACAGGTTCCAAAAATATAGATTGACTTTAATACTATTAAGTACCATTTGAGGCCAGCAAGTCTATATTGTAGAGGAGGTAGAGTTTATCTGTTTTTCTTATCTTGGCATGTAAAGTAAAAAAAAAGTAAAGATTCCACTTCAGACCTAACGATCCATTGGGAAGATGAAGTGGAGTTCATATGTTTCTTGATCTCGGCATATAAAGGGATAATGTGGTCAGCACTATGCCCAGCCGCCTTTACTTTCCCTTGCGAGAGTTAGATACCCATCAGAGTTGGGTGGACTCAGGGACGTTCCACTAACTTGAACCCGGATTCGAACTCAAAACTATCGGGTTAGCAGTCTAGGGCTCCACCACTAGGCCACGTCATCCCATTATCTTGGCATGTGAAAGGATAAGGACAGCACTAAGCCAAGCTGCCTTTAGCTTTACTGACTTGAGTCAGGTAGGCAGTTTCATCAGAGCTGGTTGGATTCTAACTCAGCCTGTGAACCGAACTCCAGACTTTCGGGGTCAGTAAGTGTGTGCTCTATCTCACGACCATGCCATCCACATATCACTGACCATTGGCTAGATCACATTGTGGAAGGAAGATGCTTGCTTCAACATTTTAAACTGTGCTTGGATTAAATAGTATTACAGTTTTCATAAATGTTATCCATGTGAGTATAACTAGTCTGTAGCAGTACTGAAATTTTATCTTAAATAGTATTACAGTTTTCATAAATGTTATCCATGTAAGTATAACTAGTCTGTAGCAGTACTGAAATTAATTTTATCTTTACAGCTGCTAAGCTCTGGTTTCATTGGATTTGCTGGACAGCCTATTGGTGTCATTGTGGCAGGTATGTTTCTTCACTACACCAATTGGAGATACTAGCCCATATTTAAGATACCTGGAAAGCATTTGCCAGTGACCTATGTCCAGGTTGGAAAATGGGCTAACTTAAACCAACTTGTATAAATCAGTTGTAGAGAATGTGACTTCTGTGTTCAAATCTTCCATTCCAAAATTTTCACTTTAGATTTTGGGAAAGTTAGCTTTAAAGAGTACCCAATGTTAGTTGGGGAGACAGAAAGCAGACTGCACATTATTCTTACTACAAACCATGTAAAAATCAAGATTTTATTTTTGATTTCTCACATTTTAAATTCTTTTTTTTTTTTGTTGAATTCGTTGTTTTTTTTTTTTAATTTAAAAAAAAAAAATGAAAATCTTTCCAGACGAAGCAACAACAGCCCAAACAGCGGCAGGCCTGGTTAAAGTGACTTACAAAAACATCCAACAGCCCATTGTCACCCTGCAGGATGGCATACAGAAGAAATCTTTTTTTCCCAACCCTCCTGCCCCTACAATTGTTGGAGACCCTAAAGGTGAACATTATTATTTTATTTATGGTAATGAGATTGCGGACCAGCTGGCAAAAATTGGGGGAAAGAAACCACAACCGGAAATCTCGCTACACCCAAAAGAAAAAAAAAGAATAATAAAAAACAAACGCAAATGTGGTCTGACACACACCCTCACTACAATAAAGATGATGGATATTATAATTTGACACGAAAACAACAATACATAATCTTTCGACTTAGAACAGGCCATAACAGACTAAATCAACACATGCATAAAAAACTAAATTGGGTGTGGCGAAATATGCACTTGTGGCAAGGCCCCGGAATACACGGAGCACGTCCTTCAGGAATGTTCTTTATATAGCCAGGCACGAGTCAGACACTGGCCCCTGCTCACCCCACTCAGGGAAAAATTATATGGGGCACCTGCTGATCTGGAGACCACAGTCCGGTTTATTCACGAAGTTGGACTTGTTGTCTAAATCCTCCACCATGTTCTCAATTAAGAACGAAGAAGAAGATTTTATTTATTTTTTAGTTGCTGTTGTCATAAGTGTACCCAACCAAGGTATTAGATTAAGGGTATAAAGCTGGTAGTTAATCATGAAGTTATTATTGTGATTGGATAACTAGTTTGCAGTGATGAAGCTCCTAATTCTTAATTTTTCCGAGTAGTCTAATAAAATTAATTTAAAAAAAAGCATAAGCAATTGTTCTCATGTACCTCAACCAGTTTACTATTGATGAGCTTTCACTAGTAGATGGGAAATCCCTTAACGCGCCACTAATGTCTACATAGTAGTTACATACCAATCTGTTAAAAAAATTGTATTACTTAATCTTCTTTTTTCTTCTTCTCCGTTCTTAATTTTAGTGTTGGATGGGATCCCCTCCAACACAGTTAAGTATATGTGTCAACTGACTCCGATTTCAGCCTGCTTTTTCTTTTGGATTTGCTTCCATAGCCTTTGTCCAACCAAGAACAAATTACAAGGCAGCATTTGTTTGATTTTGGAGTATTCTCTCCTAGAAGAGTGGCTGTCCCCAGCTAACGAGCCTCACCTGCCCGAGGGTTCGAACTCGAGACTTTTCGGTTTAGCAATCATGAGCTTTAATAACTCGACCAAACCAACCCCCTTATTACTTAATCAAAGAAAAATTAGTATTTACAATTGTTCTCATGTACCTCAACCAGTTTACTATTGATGAGCTTTCACTAGTAGATGGAAATCCCATAACAAGTTACTGTTGCCTACCTACCAATTAGATATCAATTTGTCAAAATTTTGTATTACTTAGACTATAAAGGGACTAATCTAGTCCCATTATCAGGGGCTAGCTTAGTCCCCTGAGTCCACCGATAACGCGCCACTAATAGACCCACATATTCTACCAGATGAAAAATTGATTTTACACAAATCTTGCAGGTGCCATTGCGGCTGCTCCCAAAAAGATCAGCGGCAGCATTAGCTGTGGTGACCAGTACCATTTTTACCTGGAGACCGTGACAGCTATTTGCACACCCAGCGATGTGGGTGGCATGGAGGTCAAGGTCTCCAGTCAGTGGCTGGACATGGTTGGGGAAACTGTTTGTGGTGTGCTCAACTTACCTCAGTCCAGGTCAGACCATTAGTTCTTTATATCTACTTCTTCTTCTTCTTCCTTCTTAATTATTAGTGTTGAAGGGGATTGAGATTTATCTGCCAGTGGGGTTGAACTCGAGACAGTTCGAATTTATCAACCATGAGCTTTTTGCCGACTCGACCACGCCTCCATCACAATTAAGCGTTACGTGTCAACTGGTTATGCGCCATTGAGGCCATTGACTCCGATTTCAGCCTGCTTTTCTTTTTGGATTTGCTTCCGTAGCCTTTGTCCAACCAAGAACAAACTACAAGGCAGCAGTTGTTTAATTTTGGAGTTGTCTCTCCTAGAAGAGTGGCTGTCCCCAGCTAACGAGCCTCATCTGCCCGAGGGTTCGAACTCGAGACTTTTCGGTTTAGCAACCATGAGCTTTACCGACTCGACCACGCCGACCCCTATTTTTTATATCAATTTAATTAGCAATTAGAAGAAATATTTTCATATTTAAATACAAATATAATTGCTGAAATATCTTAATTTCTAGTCATTTATACTATTTCCAGCTTACCAAACCATTCACATTTCTGTATTGTAATTTATAAAACATTTAAAATAATTAAAATTGAGCTTTTTTTCTGTAGACTATATAAAAATAAGTTGATGTAATTTTTTTTTTAACAATGAACTGATTATTACTTATAAAAAAAATATTACTTCTTAAAATGGTGTCATTAATTATAACTACTTCTCAAAGTGGTCTCTTATGTAGTTGCTATTTCTTAAAGTGGTATAGTATATAGATCTAGTACCTACTTCTCCAACTTGTCTGTTATGAAGTAAAAATACAGTTTTACTCTCTACAGTGTGGAGGTAACAACAGAAAGACTAGGTGGTGGCTTTGGTGGAAAGATAACTCAGCCTAATAAAGTGGCAGGGTTATGTGCTCTTGCAGCCAATTATGTCAACAAGTAAGACGTGAACACTCCCATTAATAATGACCATAAAGTCAATTAAAATAATTTAAAATAACTTCAAGATTAAAGTATTTTTTATTTAGTTTTTTTTTTATTTGACTTGTACAGACATTTTTTACTCCTGTTATATATCTGTAGTACGCTCCGAAATATATTTTGACAAAATGTATTCCTAGTTTTTAATTTTACTTTACAGGCCAGTCAAGCTGAGGCTGGATATACACACAAATATGCAGATGTTGGGCAAGAGAGAGGCCTACTATGCAGAATATGAGGTGAACTCATTTCTAATTATTTTTTTTACGTTAATTAGTAAATTAATTAATAAATAAAAAACTTATATTTTCAAAGACTTCTGTTTTTTTTTTAAATTTAGTGTGGAAATAAGTAGGCCTATCTAATATAAAAAAATATAGCCCTAAACATCAACTTTAAAAACATAAATTGATATAGAATAAAAATTATTTTTAAAAAAAGCCAATAGGTTCACACTTTGTTATATTTCATCAAATTTTATGATCAGATATTTTTCCCCCCTCATTAAACATTCTCAAGTGACTTTGGTTACTTATAATGCCTTTTAACTTGTGAAGTCTTTTAATTTTCTTTTAATTATGTAGTAATTAACCGTTATTAAGATTGGAAAAGGTATTTAATTAAGAGCAAAGCTCAAATAATCATGTGATAGAACATAAAAGCTGGGATTATTGCACGCACTATTAACAAAATAAATTGCTTGTTTTTAAGGTTGGGTTTGACAACAATGGCCTCCTGCTTGGGATTATCGTTACAATTTACTGTGATGAAGGCTTTGCAGATGTTGATGGAAATGGTGGTGATCTCGTTGGATGGATTGATAACGGTAAATATTTTATCATCATTTCCTGTTTGTGCCCAAGACACAGGCGGCAGATGAAGTAGAGTTCATCTGTTTCAGAGACATCAGCATATGAAGGGATAGCGTGGTCAGTACTATGCCCAGCCGCTTTGTTTCCCTAACGTCAGTTGGGTACCCATCAGAGATGGGTGGACTCAGGGATGTTCCACTGATTTGAACCCGGATTCGACCTCGACTCTCGGGTTAGCAGTCTAACTCTCTACTGCTAGGCCATGCTGTTCCCAAAATATTTTATACTGGCGCCTAAATATTTGTCTCTTGTTTTTACTATCAGTTTCTTCACCCGTTATGCATAATGTCTGTTTCCTACCCAGATAGTTTCCTCCCTTTACAGAAGATGTTGGACTTAATCAGAAGTTGACTATTTGTAGTTTTTTCATTAGGTTTAAAATAATATTGTTTGTTGTGAAAAGTGGAGAAAATAACAAATATCATGTTTTTATACAAGTTTTTTACAGTTTAAAGCTTACAAACTAAAAATAACTCAATCCTACTCTATTCACAAAATATTTTAGCACAATAGTTTAAACCTATAAATGGACTTTGTTCTATTTAAGTATTATAACCAGGAGATTATGTATGCATATTGAATCAAATTTACAAAGAATTAACAGAAATTGTCTTTGTACTAGGCTATGCTAACAGTGCTGATTATTTTTAAAATGATTTTTAATCTATTTTAACTTTGTATATAACCTTAAAGACATTTTAAAAAACATTTTATACTATTTAAAAAATAAAAAGTGATATATAAAATATATTTTTAGCTTGCTATATATATATATAGTTACCCCGCTCAAATATATGGAAAGAAATTAACAGTTTACCACGTGATGTTATTGTAAAAAAAAAATTATAAACTTAATCAGTAACTTTAATAAATTATTTTGTTTTTTAAATCTATTTTCAGCTTACTTCTGTGCAAACTGGCAGATCAGTCCAATTCCTGTGAAAACAAACAAACCAAGTAGCACAGCTTGCAGGTCGCCAGGTAAATATGGCATAATTACAACTAGACTCACTTTCTCCTATTTGACTTGACCCTCAAAATTTGCTGTTTGAAAAGTATGATTTAAAATTATCAAATTTGTATGTAAAGTTCCCCTTTCAAACCTTACGGTGTATAGGGCAAGTGAAGTAGAGTTCACTTGTTTCTGTGACCTCGGCATATGAAGAGCTAGTGTGGTCAGCACTATGCCAAGCCACCTTTACTTTCCCTAACGTGAGTTAGGTACCCATCAGAGTTGGGTGGACTCAGGGAGGGTCTACTGACTTGAACCCGGATTCGAACTCGAGATTTACGGGTTAGCAGTCCAGCTCTCTACCACTAGACTACTTCGTCCCGCAAATTCGTATGGTTTTTTTGAGAATTCTGATACAGTGTAAAGTACTACTTCTGATCACCAGAAATTACTCAAAACTTTTCAGAAACCTTTACATAAGATCTTATACCTTCATATTAGAAATTAAAAATTGTTTCTTTATTTGCACATGTGCATCATTATTCGACATTTAAAAAAAAATTGTACATCTGCATGTCTGTATCATTATTAGACATTAATAAAGATTTGTATATCTGCATATCTGTATCATTATTAGATATTAAAAAAGATTTGTATATCTGCATCATTATTCAACATTAAAAAAAAATTGTATATCTGCATATCTGCATCATTATTAGACATTAAAAAAGATTTTTATATCTGCATGTCTGTAGGTTCAACACCTGCTATTTTTATCATGGAGAACATCATTGAACATGTCGCCAAGTCTTTGGGTAAAGACCCCTATGAGGTCAGAAAGTTAAACTTGTATGTCAAAGGTCAGGTGAGTACATTTTCATCTTTCCAATATTGTTATAAAAGTAAAACATTCACTTTTTTAATATTCTAGCATTAGAATTTTTTATAGCTTTAAAACAATTACAAAATATTATAAGTAAGTAAGTAATGTTCCCCTTCCAAACCTGATGGTCTATGGGGCAAGTGAAGTCGAGTTCAGATATGAAGGAATAGTGTTGTCAGCACTGTGCCTAGTTGACTTTATACATGAGTTAGGTACCCATCAGAGCTGCGTGTACTCGGGACAGTCGACTGGCTTGAATCTGGATTCAAACTCAAGACTTAAGGGTTAGCAGTCTAGCTCTTTACCGCTAGGCCACTCCGCCCCATAATATTATAACTTAGGCTAATATTTTTTAATGCACAATCAAAACCCCTGATATTGCCATTGCTAATGTTTTGTTTGTTTTTAATCCCAGCTTACCCCAACAGGGATGCCTCTAAACTATTGTAGTATTCGTGAAGTAGCAGCGCAGTTTGAAAACGATATCAAGCTGACTCAGCGTCAACAAGCTGTTGCAGCATTCAACTCTGTATGTATCTAGTCACGCAGCATTCAACTCTGCATGTATGCTAGTCATACCCACATACAAATCCATGCTCATCCTTATATATAAGTACATAAAATTGTAGAACTAATAAAGGATAGAAAGTGACTAGAAATATGGATAATTATCATGTTCAATTTGTTTTAAATGCATTGTATACTATTGATAGATTGCAGCTTGTTACAAATTTTAAACTGTCAACTTTGTTGTGGTGTCTGATAAAAAAGACAGCTTCATTTTGAAATTTTTCACAAGAACAAAAAAATAAAGAGCAAACAAAGTATTACAAAAATATATGATTTGTCTTGGTAGCCGTTGAATAACAATGTTTTAAAAAAAAACTATATTTTCTATCTTACCAAGTTATTTAAATAATTGAATTTTGTTAAGTACCCACCAGAGCTAGGTGGACTCAGGGATGTTCTACTGATTTGGGCCCGCATTTGAACTCGAGACTTTAGGGTTAGCAGCCTAGCGCTCTACCTCTTTGGTCGCACTGTTCCTTAAGAACACACATTCATTGTTACAATTTATAATTGGCTCTGACGTTATACTAGTAGTACAGAAACTTGTACATTTAAACCTTGCTATTGACACATAAATTGTGAATATATCGCTTAATCAGGCCAACAGGTGGAAAAAGCGCGGCCTTGCTGTGATGCCCAACAGGTTTGGTATAGGTTGGACTGGGGGCATGTACAACACTCACATCATCATCTACCACGGAGATGGGAGTGTGGCCATTGCTCATGGGGGCATCGACATGGGCCAGGGCATCAACACCAAGGTAGGTCACATCGACATGGGGCAGGGCATCAACACCAAGGTAGGTCACATCGACATGGGGCAGGGCATCAACACCAAGGTAGGTCACATCGACATGGGGCAGGGCATCAACACCAAGGTAGGTCACATCGACATGGGGCAGGGCATCAACACCAAGGTAGGTCACATCGACATGGGGCAGGGCATCAACACCAAGGTAGGTCACATCGACATGGGGCAGGGCATCAACACCAAGGTAGGTCACATCGACATGGGGCAGGGCATCAACACCAAGGTAGGTCACATCGACATGGGGCAGGGCATCAACACCAAGGTAGGTCACATTGACATGGGGCAGGGCATCAACACCATGGTAGGTCACATCGACATGGGGCAGGGCATCAACACCAAGGTAGGTCACATCGACATGGGGCAGGGCATCAACACCAAGGTAGGTCACATTGACATGGGGCAGGGCATCAACACCATGGTAGGTCACATCGACATGGGGCAGGGCATCAACACCAAGGTAGGTCACATCGACATGGGGCAGGGCATCAACACCAAGGTAGGTTACTCTAGTTACCAGTAAAATGTTTTTATATTTTGATTTGTTTTATGTAGCAGTCAGTTGTATTTTGTGTGGGCAGATTTTATATAATGCAATCAAGGAATAATGCAGATATACATAGAATAATTATCATATAGTTAAGATTTATAGTATAAACTTTCAGCTAATAATAAGACAGGTACAGTACAAAAAGTATCTACATTATACTTGTTGACAATTATAAATACTAAAAGAAACATTCTTGATCACTGTCACTCCCATTCTCATTCAATCTATTTTATAACAAACAGTATATTTGCTTATCTAATATTACATGGCCAGACTTGCTTCTTATTTAAAATGTGGATTCAAAATACAAATAAAAAAGATGTTGCAATTTAAAACATGGATTCAGTTTTTGTTGATTTGTTTGCTTAAGTAATGATAGGATAAATTACATTTTTACAGGTAATTCAAGTATGTGCTTTTGAGTTTGGAATCCCAATGGATAAAATCCGTGTACAAAAATCTTCAACAATTATCAATGCAAACTCCATCACAACAGGAGGCTCAATTGGTTCTGAACTTTGTTGCATGGTGAGTTCCACAAAGAAGGGAGATAAATTTTACATACATTGACTTCATATTAATTTTATAAAAGATGCATTCATCTAAATATTTGCCAAACTGTTATGTAAAATGTAATAATAATTGCATTCATAAATACAACTCTCATACATATGCATTTTTCATACTTATATAGTTTAAGACTTCCAAAAGAAAAATTAAAGATTATCTGTTTTGTTTATCTTATTGTGTTACATTTGAAAATGTTTTCTGTGTGTTTGCTTGTAATCTATTAAGTACTTTGTAACATTGTCAAATGTTGTCTAATATAAATCTGTTTTGTTTTGCTTATTTACGTTAACAATTTTATTTTCCTTGTGTATAGTCTTTAAGCATTGTCATATAAATACTGAATAATATAAATGTGTATTGTTTCGCTTTTTTAGGTTAAGATTTTTATTTTCCTTGTGTTATCCAATAGGGTGTTATAGAGGCTTGCAACATCCTCAAACAACGCATGGCCCCTGTGAAAGCTAAAATGGTGAACCCAACATGGGAACAACTAGTGGCACAGTGTTATGCTGACATGATAGACCTGACTGCATCTTTCATGTAAAGTTTTGGGGGTTAACCCTCGACTTTTTTCATTTTTAAAAAAAGAATATTAATGACTTAAACCTTCATACCAATTTTATCCTATTAGCACTTAAGTTTTTCACTGTAAAATTTGACGAGGTGTGTTGTATCTAAACCTACAAGCACAATTCAATGCCTAGTCACTTGTCACTATTAATGGATAAGGAAATACATATTCATATTCATGTTTATAAAAGTTACGTGTGAATGTATATACAAAAGTGTAGCCTATATATAAATTTATATATAAATATTTATTGTGTATGTATACAGTGCTTAGAAATATGTTGTATGTATACATATAAATTATGAATTTGTACAGGTATAAATATTTTTATATATTTTTTTTCATGTATATATTTACATATACACATGCACATATCCATCTATATTTTATATATATATATATATATATATATATATATATATATATATATATATATATATATATATATATATATAGTTTGTATACATACCTATATATTTCTGTATGTAGACTATGTGTATGCTTGACATTACAGGACAGCCCCACGAGACCCTTATAGCAGCCGCTATAACTGCTACAGTATTGCTTGTGTTGAGGCAGAGCTGGACATCCTAACTGGCCAGTACCAGCTTAGACAGATGGACATGTTGTATGACTGTGGTGACAGGTGGGTAGATAAGTGGACAGGTGGGTAGACAGGCGGGTGGACAGGTGGTTAGACAGGTGGTTAGACAGGTGGTTAGACAGGTGGGTAGACAGGTGGGTAGACAGATGGACAGGTGGGTAGACAGGTAGTTAGACAGGTGGTTAGGCAGGTGGGTAGACAGATGGACATAACTGTAGTGACAGGTGGGTAGACAGGTGGGTAGACAGGTAGATATGTAGTATGATTGTGGTGGCAGGTGGGTAGACAGGTGGGTAGAAGACAGTTGGACATGTATGATTGTGGTGACAGGTGAGTAGATAAGTGGACAGGTGGGTAGACTGGTGGGTAGACAGGTGGGTAGACAGATGGACATAACTTTGGGGACAGGTGGGTAGACAGGTGGGTAGACAGGTGGGTAGATAAGTGGACAGGTGGGTAGACAGGTGGGTAGACAGATGGACAGGTGGGTAGATAGGTGGGTAGACAGGTGGGTAGATAGGTGGGTAGACAGATGGACAGGTGGGTAGACAGGTGGGTAGAAGACAGTTGGACATGTATGATTGTGGTGACAGGTGAGTAGATAAGTGGACAGGTCGGTAGACAGGTGGGTAGACAGGTGGACATATTTGTGGGGACAGGTGGGTACACAGGTGGGTAGACAGGTGGACATGTTGTATGACTTTGATGACCGGTGGGTAATAGGTGGGTAGACATTTTTTAATTATAAATTAAAATATATACCAGTTATATACGCCTCTTTGTATCAAGGTGTTAAAATACTTAAATTCCTCATTTTCCTACATTAATGTTTAACAGCATCAACCCTGAACTGGACATTGGTCAGGCAGAAGGAGGTTTTGTTATGGGCATGGGCTACTTCATGCAAGAGCAGATGAAATTTGACCCTGTAACTGGGCAAGCAATCAATGATGGCACATGGGTATCCATATTTTTCTATTTATATCTTTCATTAACCCAAAAAATATTTCTAAATAGTTGCATATATTTGTTTTAAATTTCAAATTATCACACACATTTTTTTTTTGGAAAAATATTTTTGTGATGAATTATTGAAACATGAAAACACCATTTAAAATTTTTTATTTAACATGAATTATGGAAACGTTAAAACACAATTTATTTTTCTTTCAGTATTATAAACCGCCTTTGCCAAAAGATTTGCCAATGAATTTTAACTTTAAATTCCAAAGAAATGCCCCAAATCCAGTTGGTGTTCTGCGTTCAAAGGGTTTGTACTGCATTTATTTTTTGCTTTATGCTATTAGGTTAAAAAACTGCCCATTTTTAAATAAACTTTTATCTAATTCACAATGTTTGTCTGTCTGTCTGTCTGTCTGTCTGTGGGTGGCTCATAATATCTTCTACACATTTTTAGTAATGAATACCTCAACTCAATTAAAGCATGTTTAGTTTTATTTTCATATCTTCAATGCATTTAAACATTTATTATTATAAATATATTTTTACTTGCTTTATTATACTTTATAAATAATCACACTTTAAACTTTATAAATAATCACACTTTATATTATAAATAATCACACTTTATACTTTGTAAATAATCACACTTTATACTTTATAAATAATCACACTTTATACTTTATAAATAATAACACTTTATACTTTATAAATAATCACACTTTATACTTTATAAATAATCACACTTTATACTTTATAAATAATCACACTTTATACTATATAAATAATCACACTTTATACTTTATAAATAATCACACTTTATACTATATAAATAATCACACTTTATACTTTATAAATAATCACACTTTATACTTTATAAATAATCACACTTTATACTTTATGTAACTCAGCTGTTGGAGAGCCCCCACTGACTATGGGAGCAGCTGCTCTGTTTGCTGTCAAACATGCTGTAGAAGCAGCGCGAGGGGAGATAAGCCAAGATGTTTACTTTCCACTTGGTAATGTTTTGTTTTAAAAACATACACTCTGAGTTAGCAAGAACAAATTTTAGCAAAATTTGAATTAATTTTTTTTGTATTTGTTTCAATCAACATTTTATTAAATAGACAAAATTAGTTTTACTAAATTTAAAAAAAAAAATTATTTGCATGTTTTAAAAAAAATATTCTTTGCATTTTCTAATTTCAGATGCTCCTGCAACACCTGAAAAAGTTCAGTCCCTTTGTTTGAATGATATTTCAAACTTTACATTTGGAAACTGAAAGGAAGAAATTCAAACATTGAGAAATTTATAACTGAATTATATTTTTCTTAAAATTATAACAATGCTTGTTAGTACAATATAGCAGAAAATTTTGACATTTGAAAGTGAATTGTAAAAAAATTGTGAAAAATTGTGAACACACTTTTTGTATGTATAAATCTTTACTTGTAAAGCTGCTTTATTTAAATCAAAAGTTTAAAATATTTGCTGTAGTTTTTATACTATATTTCAGCAATTGGCAAAGTGTCTTTCATTTTTTATAAATATCTAGTTTTTTACCTGTATACACTTTATACAATATGATTTAATACCAAAAAGTATCTTTGTTTTGCATTATATATATTTTTTTTTCAATTTTCAAAATTTTAAATAAAAAACATGTTAAGGAAAGCATTTTGCTTAACAATAACCTATACATACTAAATATTGTGTGTTTGTGTAATCTAATTTAAAGAAAGGATTGTGATTTTCATTTATTTGTATCCATATCCCTATTAGTATCTGGATATGCGAAGTGTTGTAGATTACACATCTTATAAACTCAGACATTTTGTGTGAAATCAGGGAATGTAACTCTATCTTGATCACACAGTCCTTGGTCGTAGAAATAGATGAACTCTACTTCGTCTACCGTATGGTTTAAAAGGGTAATTTTTTTCTACATTTAAAATTTGTTTAAATTTGAATAAAATCAAGTTATTTAAAGATATTGCTGTTTACCATGTGATTATTTGTAAAGTATTAGATTCAAACCTTGTTTTACAAACTGTTTATTCAAGAACTACTTAATACTACAAGAGATTTTTTATTAAAATTTGTAGTTCCATTATATTAAACCACACTACAATTTTTATCATAAAATCTATATTTATAATGACAATTAGGATTTCAACATTTTAGTCAAGTGAATTTGTATTTGGAAAGTTTTGTTTAATGTATATCCTTGCCACAAAACTGAAGTATTTTACACACTTATACTAAACTTAGTTTTAATACTTACAAATATTTATTCCACATTGACTATGTTTTGAAGTCAATAAATATTTAAAATCTTGTGTCAGATTAATGTTCACCTTTTGTCCCTTCCCCATTCACTTTTTGTCCTTCTCTCTACTCACTGTTATCACTCCCTCAACATTTACTCTTCCTCCCCACTCACTCATTCCCTTCCTTCCCACTCATTCTTTGTCCCTCCATTCCCACTCCATTTTTTCCCTCTCCACTCTCTCTTTGTCCCTCATCATTTACTCTTCCTCCCCACCCCCACTCACTCTATGCCCCTCTCTCCACGCCTCTCTCTCCACTCTCTCCTTGTCCCTCATCATTTACTCTTCCTCCCCACCCCCGCTCACTCTATGCCCCTCTCTCCACTCACTCTTTGTCTGTCCCTCAACATTTACTCTCCCTCCTTCCCCACTCACTCTTTGTCGTAGTCCCGTCCCCCCCCCCCCCCCGCTCGAGACAACCAGGTTAGCAGTCATACTGTCTACCACTCCACCACGCCACCACTCCACCACGCCACCACTCCACCCCGCCCTCCTTTTAAGGTAATGTAGATGACGTAAATAAAGCAAGTTTAAAATTATTTTCTGAAACAATATGAAACAATTTAAGTCTTCTGAGTGAAGGTTTATAAATGCTATAAGCTTCACGAAATAATTAAAGGTTATATCGGGTAAGTATAGTAGGGTGAGAGGTTAATGAATTATTCAATATGCAGGTTATAATTAAATCAACATCTGTGAGTCAAAATTGGATCAACATTAATAGGTCATCATTGGATCAAACTTTGTAGGTCATTAAGTCAACATTTGTGGGTCATCGTTGGATTAACATTTATAAGTAATCATTGAATCAACTTTTGTTAACATTTGTAGGCCATCATTGGATTAACATTAATTTGTATAATATAATTATTGGATCAACATTCGTAAGCCTTCATTAGTTGGTCATCATTGAAACAACATATGTAGGTCATAATTGGATCAACATTCGTAAGCCTTCCTTAGTTGGTCATCATTGAATCATATGTAGGTCATCGTTGAATCAACATTTGTAGGTCATAATTGGATCAACATCGTAAGCCTTCCTTAGTTGGTATTCAATGAAGTACCATGTGTAGGTCATTACTGAATTAACAACAATTGTTGATGATTATTCAAACTAAACGCACGTCAACATTGAAAGAACGTCTTCGATTACCGCACAACCGAAACCACATTAAACTTTTAAAAATATTAACTAGCGTGCCCTACAGCGCTACGCATGGATGAATGAGAAATAAACGCACCCATAATTAGTGACGTCAGGGATTATTCACGCCTCCAGTAGTGTTAAGATTTGCAGGTAAATGATTTTCAAAGTTCTGAATAGCTTGTATAATTATATGAAAGAACTACGTTGTTGTGTAATAATATATAATTATTTGATAAAAGTAAGGTAATTTCCTCTTTTTTTTTTACCTACTCTTGAACAATAAGGTTAATTATTCAAAAT